CCACGTCCAAATGAAGATGGAACGTTATGAGGATCCACTCAATTAATTTTACTGCCCCTCTCTGTAGTTGACGTACGATAATGATCACTAAGTGCAAACAAACAAAGATTGGCAGTTGATTTGCTCAATGCACATAGAAACATTACCGACTGTACTGCTGTTTCACAGCGATACGTTCACGAATAGCGATGTAATCCATCTCAAAGTAAAAATGGATAGGAAAACGTCATGATGAATTTCGAAGAATGTCAAGATTGCAGCGGCAGTATCGAAAGCGAAAACTCCACCTACAGTTCGCACTGCTCTGGTTATTGCATTAAAGGCGATGCACCTCGTGTAATTCTATACGAAATTAAGTGGACAATCCTTGAAGTTAACCTTGTTGGGAAAAAAAGGAAGCGTTGACGTTAAAAAGTCATGGCTCCTGTTATAACCTCGAAGGTAAGAAGGGCCAGTAACGTCACCGAACTCAAGTACAACCATAAGACAAAAGTCACAATTAAAAAGGCAATGAGAGAGCGAATGATACAAGTGAACTTCTCAGTAATTCCGAAAGTCAACAAAAAAGGTAAAGGATAAAGCTCTTGGCGTTGATTAATCTTTGAGGGATGCGCCATGCATTCGGCTTCATTAAGCATCGTTTGGAGGTGATTGAAAACATATCTGGTCTTTACAATGACTCATGGTGGCCTACTGATGTATCGAGCCGGTGCTGTTGTCCTTCCAGAGCAACCTGGTACCAATTTGCCGACTCCGGAGGGATGGAAGGCTTGGTGGGCCATGGGCGCGGGAATCGATTCCACGTGTGTTGCAGGAGCGCCTCCGACCACTACGCCACAAGCGCCCATTCGAAAGTCGATAGTGAACGAATCGGAAAATGATAAATTTTTCATTCCCTTACAGAACTTCCACTCAAAATCCTATCGTAACGACTGAAAAATAGGACTACATATGCATAAATATACGTGTAGAGAACCTATGCCTCCAGTTATTTACTACCGGGCTGAGTGTTCCTGATCACCGAAATACGATATATACTGAGTAAAAAAAAAGCAAAAGTGTAACGATCTCCCAATTCCTTAGGATGAACACATCTCATTAGGAAGGCCTATCGCCCATCAAAAATGAACAGCGTTCAATAGTGTCTTCTCGGGTTACTCAATGGTAAACAAGATTACAGCGCACATCATGATTGTCAACAGAATATTTAGTCACCGTAAAAATCATTTTCTGTCACCTGCCATGTTGTGTGTTCTTAGAAAAAGACTACGTAAAAATCGTCAATATATGCCTAATATACACAGCTGAAGCGCAAAGCGTAGAGTTGATCAATTCCCTAGGAATGTGCCATGCATTCGACTCCACTAAAAGTCGAATAGAAATAGGTATCTGAACGTCATTTGGTTTATACAATGGTTTGCAGGATCATACATGCTAGTGTTTTTTCCCAGGTGAGATCACAACTAGTAATAAAAATGTCGGTGCTTCCTCACCGAAGTATCCGTGTCAAATTTCTTTTTCTCAACCAGACTTGGTCTTACCAGGCTTTCACTCGATCGTCTCAATCTTGGGCCGAATATTCGGTCTTTTTTCCTGTCTTTTAAGCACATTCGTGAAACTTTTATACAGGGCCCGTTTCCAAAAACTATACTACATTACGGCGGGACTTAGGAAGGAAATGTACAAGAATATAATAGGTGTCATAAGATTCGTTAACCGAATGCTATTTCATCAATACTTTCCTAGATTATTAAGCTAATGCAAGGTTAGAAAGAAACACTGATTACTTGGGTGGCCCGTCTTCACTGGCTGTGCGCGCCCCAGCATAACTTCTACTCTCCGGAGATTTGCTGGTTTAGCCATTGTGGTTCATTGGAGCCCCGAGGAGAGCTTGACCAAAGTTTGTCCCAAAAATGCTGATTAGTTTGCACAAAATATCAGTAGGATATATGAACCCGAAGAAAGGCGCCTGTATTAGGTGCAAGAGAAGCAAAACAATAGATAATAGGCAAATAATGTACATTTAAATGAAATGAAAGTGTCAGTAAACTGGAAACATGCGAATTGATTAAGTTAATTCAATGAGTTGAAATTCCCACATTTCTTCGATTAGAAAACAGACAAAAAAAAATCTTTTGAGAGATTGTTAACGGTACTAACACATGAGCAATCAGAGTTCCTCTAACTTCCCCATTCTTCGTAATCGACGCCTTTCCTCAACAAATTTCGAATGGCGGCGGACGAAATCAACCATCTGCAACTGATAAAAGATTGGACGTGGGTCACAACTTCGGTCAATAAATTAAAGATATGTTGCGTACTAGATTTATGCCCCAGCTAGAGAGCTAATGACACTGAATGAAGAATTGTTTTGTGCTAAATAATAGATTTTCTAGAAAATCTGACATTACAAACGCCTCAACTCAAGGTAAACTCAATGAGTTCGAAGACGAACCTCTACCAATCCTCATATTACTGTAACTAGATACAAGCTCACTCACTGCATTGAGCGCGCATAGGAAGGCACAGAGACACAATGGAGAAGATTTTGAAGCAGAAACTACCATGCTCGCAAAAGAAGCAAAAAAGTGTCTTTATGCAGTCTGATCTGCTCTTCTCTTCTTTTTTTCTGATTCTTTTCCACGGAGTAGGAAATGGACAAAATATGGATTCATTTCGGTACAATATTGAACAGTGGTAAGACAGTAAAATTTAACCAATGTTTCAAGAATGAAAGCCGGCTACACCAAGAACTGCAGTATCTACTACAGATATTGAACAGTCGGAAAAAGCCATAGAAAAAAAAGAAGAGAAGAGCAGATCAGACTGCATAAAGACACTTTTTTGCTTCTTTTGCGAGGATGGTAGCTTCTGCTTCAAAATCTTCTCCATTGTGTCTCTGTGCCTTATTATGCGCGCCTGGTGTGGTATTTGGTTTAGGCATAGGACACAGAGACATAACGGAGATTTTGAAGTAGAAGTTACGATCGTCGCACTGAAATCGAAAACTTCATCAAACGCAGACGACTACACTTTTTTGCTTTCCTTCATTTACACGCTTCTCGTCTAAATTTTTTTTTAAGTCTCCGCCACGACAGAGACCATGGGAATCTGTTGTAAGATTGCTTTTTCTAAGCTTTAGAACCAAAATTTTCCAATTCAAAACTCGCACTTTTTTCATTTATTTTCTACCAAAACTTACGAAACTAATACTGCGTATTAAGATTAGTCGATTACTGGGTTGGTGTAATATGATGTTCGGAGTCATCTGGGTTGCTGCATACACAGGTTCGAATCCGTGCAAAAATCTCCATTTTGTCTTTTTCCCCGTTATATCGAATAAAGCCCTAAGTAATAAATGAATGTAAAAACAAAAACATGAACTCAGAAAGGAGCAGGAGCAGAATCTACATCTTAGAAAGTCTGTAATATGAGTATAGAAGTACCTTGTTTAAAAACAACACATCAATTTCTGACAAGACAAAAGGGTAATTTCTTCGGATGACCGAATAACAATGCATATTTGATATTATTCTTTGTATAACATAATTGGAGGTCAATAGTACATTTTAAAATCTAATCGAATATACGAAGCATCTGAATGGAAAGAAAGTTTAACCGAAAACAACCGAAGTGTGTGAGGTGCTACACATAATTCCTGAAGTTTTCAATACTTGTTCCATCTGCCATTCCGTCATCATCGAGTGACTCGATGCCAGTGTCAGTAAACCTTCCAATGTTCCTTCTCGAAAGCAAGAGTAGCCCAGTGGGTTCTGCTTGTTCTAGGGACTGGTTGAGCATCATATCTTTCTTCTAGCGTTTCCATGAAGAACTCTGATCATCGGTTCAGCGATCTTCCTGCTCTGTGTTTGACATTCATTTGAACTAAGCCGCTAACGGCTCTTGATAATCTGTTGCCGTTCATAAGCATTATGTGATTCACCCCATCTACGAGAAAGAGGAGTGGAGAATGGTGTCTTTGATACTTTACCGTTGACTTAGATCGGATCTTCGGATATTCTCTCCCATTTCAGTAATAACGAGACTGCCGGCGCCGCCCTTTCGACTGCGCGTTCTATAAGCATAGAGGTCTTTCATGCTGATTATGAATCGACCATGTTTTGATGCATACATTTAGACAGGGAGAATCGTGGAGTCGAAAATTTGGGCATGGAGTCGAGTGTTTTTTGTTCTCTTCACTACATCGTCGATATTCTTAAAAGCACCTAAGCACCTCTTTTCCCTCTGTTTAACTCTGGAGCTAAGTCGTTCATCATGCTGATTTCACGACCTAGATAGACGTAGCTCAAGCATTTGAGGATATTCGTTCAGTTGAGCGTGAATGAGCATACGTAATCCAATTCGTTCGTCCTGAACATCATTTTTGTGAGATTTAGTCGAAGACCAACTTTTCACAGGCATTATCGAAGTCGGCAAGCATTCGCTCCGCTTGGCTGTTGTTATAAAAACGATGTCATGAGCAAAGCGAAGATGCTGTAATTGCTGACCATCGATTTTCACTCCCATATTATCCCATTCCAATGTTCCCATGACGTTCTCGAAGGTGGCAGCAAATAATTTTGGCGAGATGGTATCGCTTTGCCTGACCCCTCTTTTGAAGTCGATGTTAAAATCGTTGTAGAATGGTGATACCTTGGTTGTGAAATTTTATACAGCTCACGAAGAATCTTTAAACACTGTGTAGTGACTCTCTGGATGTCCAGGTGTTCGAGAAAGTTTCTATCTCAACTAAATAAAAAACTTCTCCTAAACCGATGAAAGCGAGACAGAATGGTATCTTGTACTCTCGCGATACTTCAAGGGAAGTCCTCATATTGGACATTAAATATTCTCTACATGGATTAGCAGAATTTCAGCGACTATTAAATGGTCCACTAACTGCAACTTACACTAGGTGCTTCCCAGGCAAGAAAATTTATAGGAAAATCTAAAGTTATTATATGCAAGACCATGCCCATTTAGAAAAATGCGTTTCAAATTCAACTTTCATAATAACTCACCACTTTTACCCGTTTTTGAAATTCCATGGGATCGAATCGATAATTCATGAATTTCTTATGTGGTTCTTCACTTCCTGGACGGCGTGCACCACCCTCTGGGTATATCAGATGTTGCTGAAATTCAATCCGATATATGGGATACAGCCAATCCACAAAACGAGCCATGAAAACTAAAAATCTAATGTGTTTTCCATTAAACCCTGCATTTAAACAAGAATTCAACAAAACAGGACTATGTTCAAATTAACCAACTTTGTGGAGTAGTACTCTAAACAAAATGATCAGTTTATGAAATTCCAACCTTGTCTGAACCCCAAGTGAAGTACTTCACTCCACGAAGACGTGCTAGATCCCTGTAGCAGTGGCGATCATCGCAGTTATACCTGAAACCAGCCCTTCACGAAACGTCTTGAGTTTCGACTGTTACAGTACTTTTAATATAACGATCATGTGACAGAAACCCGGTCAAATGACTACACATATTTCTTCGGTTATTAACACTCAGAGCGCGTGTGGCACAGTGATTGGAGGCGCCAATGCGACACACGCGTAGAATCGATCCCCACGCCCATGGTCCACCTGCCCTCCATCCCTTCGGGATCGGCAAATTGGTAGCATACTTGTCTGGGAGGATAGCATCGCTGGCTCGATACATCGGTAGGCCACCGCGAGTCATTGTAAAAGCCAGATATCCATTCAATCACCTCCAAACGATGCTTAATGAAGTCGAATCCATATCCCTCAGGGATTGATCAAAACCGAGAGCTTTATCCTTTATTCTTTTTATCAACACTTAATACAGAAAGATATTTACAACTATGGAATTTACTGAGAACAAAAATATCTCACAATTCCATAACTGCAGCCCAGTCCGGTAGGAAAAGTAGATGAGTAAGCCCGGCACCGTGCATTCCGATAAACACGTCAGAGTTGTGTGTGGAATCAAGCTGAGAGAGAAATGGAACCCGTCTAAAAAGTCAAGATATAAAAAAATATGGGAGTTAGAAACCAAACTGAGTACGAGATTCAATCGTATTTTCATTTTTGAAACAACGATTCAAACGACTGTTCTCTATTTCTAATAGTTTACTTACACTACGAAACAATATTAGTGGACTGTTACAAGTGGAAGTGGCTACTCACTCATTATAATCGACTACTTTCACGATGATATTCGGAATATCCTCCAACGCCTTAAGGAGCTGAAAACGTAAAACTAAATCAAGACTAATATTGTATGCATAATACAAATTCATCGATCTACACAATCATCGTAAAAATTAATCGTAGCAAAAGTGCGTCTATTCGTTACGCAGCAATTTTCACCTATCTGTAAGTTGTCCTGTTAGTTTTACTGCTTACGATAAAGTATGAAAAGGACAAAGCTCTCGACATTGATCAATCTCTGAAGGGTGCGCCATGCATTCGACTTCCTTGAGCATCGTTATGCGTGGTTGAATACATACCAGGCTTACAAAATGACACGTGGTGGCCTAACCATCTGTCCATTCAGTGCTGCTATCTTCGCAGACAGGTCTGATACCAATTTGCCGACCCCGGATGGATGACAGATCGCACTCACGTGTATTGCAGGGTGCCCCTAACCACTGCGCTCCACTCAACCCTACTGCTTATCATATAGAACAGCTCGATTCATGAACGACTAAGAAGATACGATTTTCAAAACTAATCAGTGCTTCTAGTTAAATATGCTCATAGGACGTCGTAAACTCTAAATATTCGCATAAACACTTTCTACATTCGGTTGCGCAATAATGTCTTCTCTCATAGCATAACACCCTACAGATCAATCATATTGATTCTAGCAAAATGCGAACAAAAAATGATGTGGTGGTTGTAAGCTTCTTCTTTGCAAACTACAGTATTGCGTAAGGCGAAACGTGTACACGACGAACAGACCAATCATTGGCGAGTTACAGTAACAGTTCATGTCACTGCCAGAACATGGACATTCAATGCGTAACGTAATTTTCTATTGCAGTGAACTAAAAACGGTAATGCTACTGAGTACCTGCTCATGAGCGCGCTACACAAAAATCCTTTATTGGAAGAGCGGTTCAAGGGATAAAAAAAACATTTATATCAAGGCAACTACGCTTACAACAACCTCAACTTAGAAGATGAACCAATAAAGTCACTATGTTAACACTGGCTGAAAGCACAGGGGAGCCACATAGCGTTTCAGATAGAGATCAAATATAAACACACAGTACATTTGAAATTTGCTAACATTGCTATGTAACTCAGCCTATGTTGGAGAAAAAAACGACTTTCTAAATGACTGATTTTAAACAGTTTGGTTACAATAACTAACAACATCAGAATGCTACTTGTAAGGCGATGTTCACAAAAGTCTAACTATGATTTCAATGAGGCTAAGTTGGAAAGAAGCTTGAGGTTTCCAACCGGAACTCAGGTCAGACAAGAGATTTAGCTATCGTAAAGCAGTAAACTTTCCACTGATTTATGCACAACGATGACCAGCAACTGCCTCTGGTAACGACTGGGGAAAGCCTTGGAACGACAATGTGGAAACTTTGTGAGGAAGAAAATTACTTTTTCGACAAGTAAAATGGAGAAGATGCAAGATGGAATGGTGGTGAAAAATAAGTGGAAAACATAGAGATAAGACCTCATAGGATTCTTGCAAAGATGACTTATCCAAGCATCAAATACGTCAAATACTTTATTGATAGATGGATGTTCAATGGAGAAAGAGGATGGCGAATTTTCAGGTTGGAATTTTGGACCCAATCAGTGTCGATTGCATGATGTGTAAAAGAGAGCGGAGGCCTGAGCTAAAGTGCCCGATCACTTCTGTCATCCGTCGCACTCAACACAACATGGCAGCACCGATTCCCTTCCGGACAAATGAGAACAAGGTCCGTTCTTATTGATATTTCCTCCGAAACAATCAATTCCAACTATCAAAAATAAATATGTGTAGGGGTTCCTTGGGAGCTAATTCAAACTTGATAAGTTTTAAATATTAGCAAGCAAGTTGTTTTCATGTCTTCGCCTCATCCTCATTTATCAGTTAGAACACAAACTATGCTCAGAGTTTCGAAAGTAGGAGTAAACGTCATCAATTCATTCTTTAGTTGCACAGGATTCCTTCACATTAATGTATAGAACCGGCATGGCTAGTAGGTTTGAAAATGTTGCCTCAATGTCCTTGTATCTATGCATATCAGGCCAATAGTGGTTCGAACATTATCGCTTGCATTATTCCAGTACTAACTCAGAAACACTACATTACGAAGCAACGCAATTCTCGTACAGCTCGGAATGTTCAGCTCCGCTCAGACGATCGATAAAATGAGGCACATTCGTTTTCAAAAAGCAAACTCCGGTTGTAAAATGCTCAATGGGCAGCAGCCAAACAGAATAGGCGTTAAGAATAGGTGAAGCTCTGGTTACCCAAAAGACATCACTTACTATATCTTGTAGTTATCAACATACTTGGATTACTTTATGAAAAACGCCGACATAATCCTGTTTCTGTGAAGGAGAAGTTCTTATTGTAAGGAATGCCTCGCGCTCAGGATAGCACCATGCGAATTCTAAAGCACAGTGTGAACGAGCGTGCTTAGTTTAGAACTCATTCTGCTTTTCTTGACCATATAATGTTCCTAACATATCCAAAAGCTTTGTTATCTTATCAGGTAAATGAAATTTTAACGTACAACCATATCAACAATAATCTTAACTATATAGGCCGAAAAATCCCCAAATATTGTATTCCTTAAAACATACACTACGTCCTAAGGATTCTTTTGGGATATGAAAAAATCGAGAGATATTTTCGAAACGATAGTCTGCATGAACCCAGTGTTAATCTTACGATATAAAAACATGATATTTTTTCAGTGAGCGCTTCCATTCAAAAAGTGACAGCTGTACGAACGTATTCAACAGCTTTTCTGAGAGTAGACCTAGGAGAATATGAAAGACTTGCGTTGTGAGTAGAATCCCTGAGCCGTGGCACACGAGTACTAAAAACATCGTGAAAAAGAAGACTTCATAACCAAAGGATGGACAACAAAAATGGCGTGTCACATGATCTACAGTGGCTAATTTTCTGGATCCACAGCTCAAACCTTTGACTTGCACATAAGTCTTTGAATACAAACAAATGAATACATACAAGTCATTATTGCAAATACACCTTTATGAAGAACAATTCTGTCATCATTGTACTGCTGCTAACTGTGAAACCATACGCTTGAATACTTTGGATTCAAAACTATTTCTATTGGTCACGCTTTGCCTCGTTTAGTCAATCTACAAAGATAAATTCAAGTTTAAAGCGTTTCAAAGTTAACTTATTGATATGAATTTCAGTACACCCCATCATTTCCTCCGGTAGTATACTATCGCGACACTTTTGGTCTGGAACCGCTGAGCGATCGTGAACGAAAAGCGACAGAATCTGGAGCCGAGGGCTCCGATAACGACAGCATAGCCACTAAATCTACAGGTGAGCAGAACCTCGAGATTTGCATTGGCATCACTGTCAAAACTACCAAATCATTGTGAGAACAGAGTTGAACGCTCGATTAAAAAATATCCCAAGATACTGATGCGTTAAGCGGTAAACCCTTCCACTCACTTTTAACCAATAGATCATACGGGATGAGAGATGTTAGCATGATTATAGCAGGATTACCATCACAATTTTCGGATACAGTACGCAGTGAACTCAATCTATGCGGTCCGTTGTCCCCGCTCTGCACTATACAAAAAGACGCATCAATTACCCTTCTCATTAATAAAAGTCTATGCTACCCAGTCGATAAAAAGGACAAGTGATCCATGAAACAAATGTTTTTCGTTTGTACAGTTAAAACACCAATATACTCTCCTCATCAACACTTTATGTACCAGGACAAGCGAACTCGTCCAAAAAAAAGCATTCCTTTGTAAATTATTTCAAGTCGGTTTTCTTGAAACCGACTTTGCAGATATTACTTCAAACTCTATTCCTCCTCTGAAACTTCCCCCATTTCTTCCCTAAAAACTTGCATCCTCTTAAAGAAACACTACAGCGAAATTCAGAGTTTGTCTTGGTGGGTTTGGTAAATCTTCATAATACAATTCAGCACTGGAAGTTTAATCATGTGATGTAAAAGTGAGGCGTTTTTCTACCAGTAGTTTTCAAATAGTTTAAAAGACATCCTCTATTAATTAGCGCACTAACTAATTTTAAAAAAGCGCTATTTTCTTGACAAGTGAACACGAGATTATAATTGTATATTATTTATTCACAACAGCTGACGTCTCGGCAGATTTCGCCTTCTTCACCGCCTTGAAAGGTCAAGTTAACTGCAATCCAGTCAGCCAAACCTCTCCATAACCTCTACAGAGAAACCACGATACCTAATTTTCGATCGCATTGAAAACAAAGAAGCCTCTCCATACACCCGTTCTCTGTCAGTCTCCTATTAATTATTTCACAAGGAGACCAACCACAAGTTCACATGGAAGTGTAATGTACCCCTCATATTAAAATTTCAGTAAAATACTGCGTGAGATCACGCGTGATTACCAGGCATAATTACCAGTGATTCATTTTCGGATTCTTGGAATTCACCCAGAATGCTTCCAGGATTTGGGCGTTGGTGTTTTCGATTCCTGTGCGAGGATGTTAACTTCTACTTCAAAATCTTCCCGGATATCTCCGTGCCCTATGCGCGCCTAGTGGAGTGATTTTTTTTTAATTTCACGCTTACCGTCTAGGTATTTTTTATGCGGACAGATATATACCTCTTTTATACGGACTTGACAAACTTCAAGAATTTAAAAATGAACCACAAGGAGAAATTCGTCACTATCTCGCGAGCTTTTGGTGTGAGACAAGCTCAGTACCCATCCATGTCCAACCATGTGAGCTTTGTATGGTTGATCTCCACGCAGAATACTCAGTGGAAGAACCACAGAAGGTTTTTTCTCTAACGAAAACGTGAACAATAACTGAAATGTTGAAACAAAATCTGCCTTTACTTTCAGAATCTTTCAGAAATCTTTTTTTTGTTTTTCTTCAATAAGCAGACATGAGGTTGTTATTATAGAATTTATTATGATACAATCGATTGTAACCTAATAAATTCTGTAATAACAACCTCGCATCTACTTATTGAAGAAAAATAAATATCAACCAATGTCGAGGTTAAAAGAAAGTCGGTCATGTGAATCGCTACGTGTAGTGGTTTCAGAAATCATTACCAAACCGTTTTAGATTTGAAAACCCTTAGAATTAATTCACTCGTCTACACAAAACTTCCTGTTCTTAAATAAAGCATTTCCACACCAAGGCAGCAAAAATACAATTTTATTATAATAAGTTATTATTTTATCAATTCAGAGAAAAGATAGCGCAGTGATTATTGGTGCAGTACATCAGGATCTAAGGTTCTGGTTCGACCACTCACCAACGCTTTTTTTACCCATTTGGGAATGCCACAACTCGGCTATCTCTAGGAATCAAGGAGAATTGATTTGACCAGCATTGTACGACATTTACAACGAAGACAAAGTACATAAATAACACCCGAAACAACACGCAAAATGATCGAGGACCTTTGTGGGCGACAAATGCGAAAAAAACCAATCGAATGCATAAAATACTGGGGATCCGCACAGTTGATGTGATGATGGGTGATGTAGAAGGAAGTAAAGAAAAGCATCTAGTTGTTTTTTAACACCTTAAACTGCGTAAGTTAAGTAAGTTTTCTCCATTATGTACTTAAACACATATCCTTCTGCTTGTAAGATAAAAACACCGCGCATAGTGTCCTACAAATGGGAAGCGACCGATCTTCTTACTGGCATTCAAAGCCACTCAGATGGAGTGCTCTTATTTGAATATTCTCCTAATATATAGTTACTGCATTGCCTTTATGCTGCTCAGGCATGAGCAATTACTCGTTTGTTCAATATTATCAAGATAATACTATGGAAACCTCGAAAGGACGATGATAATGGGTTATAATGATAACAACGTTAATGAAAATGTTAAAAGTTTAGAGGAACTAAACATATGTACCAATTACCAATGGATAATCCATGGTACTATTCACTTAATTTTAAGGACACCAACAGTCTTAGGCACTTTAAACTAGTGATTCTCCTAGTGAAACCTCTAAACTAATTCTACAGTTTCAAACCATAATATCTATTTTCAATACCATCAAGCAGTATTTCTCATCTATAACGTGCAAAATTACAGTTCGAACGACGACGATTGTGCAACCCTACACAACGTGCGAAAGCTCTGGTTCAAAGGTTACTAACCTGACGCAGTCCTACCATGCAAGTCATACATTCTCTAGCTTCCTTCATATACTTCGTATCCAACAAGAAATTTTCAGATATATTGTTTGCTAAGGTTTTTGCCACGATTCTGAGAGAAAATCTTCGCACACTAACTTTTAAAACCTGGAAATCTCCTAAAAATACACGATGACTACTCTAACGGCGTCTAAACTCCACAATAACTATGAGTGATCGATTCCACAGTACTTATGGAGACACTGTATATTCATGAATAGAGTGGATCCCAATATGCTTATCACCTAAATTCTACTGGCAGATGTTTGTCGAGTTCAAGGAAAGATATGCCGAGTTCCTAGGTCATCATCACTGGGAGTCGCTGCTTTTTTGACTTTTCTCCGGTATTTGCTCACCTTGGTTTAGTATTAGCTAGAGTTCTGGTTAGAAATGTCGGACACAGTCTAAGTTACTCCGTTGGAAAAATGGAGCGTATACTACTACGTAACATATTTAGCAGTACCGCAAAACATCTTGTGCCGGCAAAGTGCTAAACTACTGAAATGGCATTTTACAAAAGTGAATTTAACAATACGTAACGGAGAAATGATAAAAAATAAGTGAACCGGAATGGAAATGTGACCAATATCACGTAAATAAGACACATGCCGCTTAAACTGTACACTACGCTCTTACTAAGAGTAGTCGTTCCCACGAATGCTAAAACACGTGGCTTTAAATTCCCGGCAAATTTTAAGGAAGAACTGTTCTTTCTAAAAGCTATTTCCTTTAATTTTTGCCTGCATAAGTGCAACTAGTGTGTATCTAATAAGTAGCACGAATGAACTGTTCCTGTACTTTCTGTAATACAGAATGTTCAAGGTAGCACAACTACTCACCAACCATGTTCTAACGTCCGACCCTCGAACGTTACTCACATTGACACTTGTTGCCATCGCAAGTGCGATTCAGTTGGTTCGTCCATACGCTTTTGTTCACGCATCTAACGCATTCAATATCAGTATTCTTACACGCTAAATAACATTGCTTGCCAAATGATGTTCATTACAAACCATCAAAAAGCATAGGTCATCACTTCACTAAGGTTAACGGGCATACTTTTAGGTCATCTTTGCTGTCATATGCGTATTTTACGACGGTTGTCCATATTATATCGGAGTCGTCGTTGGATTTCTGCTGTTATCGAATGCCACTGTTGTTTTTGTTTTCTGTAAATGCAAGCCTTCAAGAGGCTGGCTGGTAAGTGAAACACTCCAAATTTTAACTTATTATTTATGCCTACGATTTGGACTCATCGGACCAATTCCACTGATGAGTGATTGCTGATGGCGCTGATGGATGGAATTAGCTGAGAGATAGACGAAACGAAAGACCCGCATGGTGTGGTGGTGAACGCGTTACTCCCTGGAAAGGGTAATAGCGTGTTCGTACCCCACCGCAGACATCTGCGGTCCGGAGTTCTGCAAAAATCTCAGCATCACTGAAGTGCAAATTTATTTGTCAGGTTGTTGCGAGTTAAATAGATCTATATTATAGACATTGCTCTTTGAAGATAGGATAGCGATGAAAAACGAAAAGAAAGAACCAAAATTTGATTCTAGAAAACTCATTACTTCTTTCAATATAGAAAGTCGAAAAAGAACTCAGCCTGATGGATAAGTTGAGAGATACTCTTTTGTAGAATTTCAGATTGCCAGTTGTGTAGCTGCCTCGTTCTCGTTTGTACAAAGTGTATCATTATTCTTTTGGACTGCGTATTTGGTGAACAATGAGGATAAGTACATAGAGAGGATAGGAGCAAAGGAGAATCGCATAGTTACGAGCACACGTATCGCCATGTACTCCTTGCAGATGATCTTCGCACCTATTCACGGTATCCTACCTTGCTTTGCGTTTTCCGATAGAGATTTATACGTAGCAAAAAGCAAAGAAAAAAACAAAAGACCTCGCCGAGCTCTTAAGGTTATTAAACGCGAAGTCTTTTGTAGTCGACGGCTTCATGTTACCTCAAAAATTTTCTCCATCTGCTGATATCTGCTAATATGATTCCCATACTTGCCTCCAGATCTGCTCGTCTTTGGTTGTTAACGTATATCCCCTATGTTTCAAAGACACGATACTTTAGAGTCAAAAACAGGCTTTTGTTCTTTTCTCGATCGGTGGCTTCTTTAGAAGACTCCTGAGACTGCTCTGCTTCATTTGCACTTCCTTCATGTCCTTTTGCACGGTCGCTGAATATCTTCGGTATAAGTAGTATATTATTTTTCCAATCAAAGAATCTTACATCACTATATGTTCAGCAGCATACCGTGACTTTTTCACGAACTGGGTTTCGATTCAATTTATGAGCAATCTTATCTTTTTCATACTTCAATCAGCTTTGAGCATCTCCGCCTCATTGGTACTTCTCATAACGACTTAAACTTCGTCGAAAAACGAACGATTCAATTTATGAGCAATCTTATCTTTTTCATACTTCAATCAGCTTTGAGCATCTCCGCCTCATTGGTACTTCTCATAACGACTTAAACTTCGTCGAAAAACGAAAACTTGGTAGGAATTTGCTATCGATGTTTATGTCGTTTTTTTTCTTAAACGAACATCTTCACTGTCTAAAGAAAAGTGGCAGTTAAAAGATCTGGGGAGGTGCAGCCATGTACAGCCCATTTTTACAGAACACAGCAAGGAGATGGTACAGAAGTTTCATCTTCGTTGTAAATTTATAAGATAGAGTTCTAATGTAATATAGGTCCACTCCTTGGTCGAGAACTGCTGGACAACGCTGAACAACGGACTTTGTTTTTACGCTATTGAACACTTTTTGTAACTTGGAAACGTTAAGACAGTGTAGAAGGATACTCCCGACGGAATCCTACGATCTCATCGATGATTTATGGTTTATACAGCAAATTATCCATTGATGATTTTCTTGCTCATCGTGGGGCTTCAACTAGTGTCTTTCATGAAATACCAGTAAAATAAGCTCCGTGAAGAGAATGTGAAAGCATAGTTATTAAGCAATTTCGGCAGTAGCTGCGAAGGTCCTTTCGACAATACTTCTTGGCAAAATGACAATATGGGATGTAGTCCAGACAGAGGTGGATAACATCTCCTGTCGACGGCTGCACTGATTGATAGCACTTCACGTAGTTAGCGAAGTCAAAGATGAAGTCGATTCTGATGTATGTGGTACCATGCAACGCATCCTGTTCTCGACCACAAGTTTGAATTCAGAGCGAAGACTATGCACTTTTTCTATCCGTAATTTTGAGGTTTAGCACGAAATTTACTGAATGGAAGTCATTGGAGTAGAACTATTGCTTTGTCAATTTCATATCATAACGACATGGCAGCAGAACCACTTCCTCACACCAACACTGATTTCAACAACATTCACTGAACCTTTTTCGAGGTGCTTCCAATAGTTCTTCTTACTGTCGACTTTTAAATATTTTGCAACAATGTCCTGCAGCTGTGCTTATCACTCTATCGTCAGATCTAACTCAAACGGATCTAGTGTAATTTTTCTTCTCTTGACATCGATTCCTTGGTGGTAATAGTAATGCGATCCGAACATTGTTATTTAACAATTTGAGTCCAAACCTAGTTTTCCGGAAGATGTTGACAATTTTTCGATAATAATAGTACGTACATAAGCAACTGAGAAATTGGAAGACTTATGAGAGAGGCTTTGCTTTATTTAGGACTCTATTAAGACTAAACTAGGTTTTTTTAAAATATCATTTCATTTCCGAAGTCTTTAAGGCTCCAAAAAATTTTTAAAAAATTTAAAGTTTTGAAATTCTTGATGCTCGTCTAGCAGCTGCAAAAAGCCAAACATTTGGGAAATAGCTGGCTTTTTAGGTAACAGTTCCCAGGATCGACTTTCTAATAACCTCGGCACTGGAATATGAATGCGTCGTTTTCTTATTCAGCAATCGCGAGGTTGTTAAACAGCATACATTTACTGCCATAGAAAAATACAACACAATACAACACTAGCTGACGTTTCGGCAGAATCACCTTCTTCAGAGCCTGGAAAGGTATACTGATATGCAATCTACTAGGCCAAACGCTTCAATAACACTTATAAAAAGACGGAAAAGTCTTTGGTAATTACACGATCAACAACTTCTCGAAAAAACCCACCACTTTTTCGTGACTTCCAATGAGGAAGTTTGGAACAGCTGATTATAGTCGCATGTGGTTGATGACTGCACCACCCAACATCAGAAATTGATGCGAACATACGGGGTCAGGTCGCGTATGACCTCTGGGCATTCATCCCTACTATTCATTGTAGGGTTTTTGGCATTTATACAAAAAGCATCAAAAGTTTTCGCACTGTTTTAGTCTCCTGTGCAGGGATATTGACTTTTATTTCGAATTCGTCTCCGCTATGCTTTTGTATCCTATACGTGCTTATAGTGCGGTACTTTGTCTTAGTTTTCGCTTTCCATCTAGGTGTTCTTTTATACGGATACACAAAAGACTGCCCATTTCGCCAATATATTCATCTCCGCAATTGTTAAAAGAGATTAGGTATGTTGTACCTGGATTATTACAAGAGTACAAACCCTACAATTAATAGCAGGGATGAATTTCCAGAGGTCATACGCGACCTGACCCCGTATGTTCGCATTAATTTCTGATGTGGGATGGTGCAGTCATCAACCATATGCGACTATAATCAGCTGTTCTAATCTTCCTCATTGGAAGTCAGGCAAAAAGCGGTGAGCTTTTCGAGAATGTTGAACATGTAATTACCAGGATTTTTCTTTTTGTAAGTGTTATTGAAGCGCTTGTAAGTGCTTGAGAAAAGGTCGGGCTTCGTATAAATCGAGAGAGGACCCAGATCACGAAAAACCCATGGTGTTATGGCGAGAAAATTGAATTGCATGGCTCTCTCATTGCAGAGCCTTGGGCGATTAATGAACATGGAAAACAACATGAAGGACAAACTAGATGGAAGAAGGAGAGCAGCTTGGGTCGCATTCGGGCCTCTCAAAGACGCCACCGACTAACTGAAGGACCCGAAAATCCGCGCTCATCTCTTCAATTCTCTTCGGTCCTCTCTGAGCTCTGTTATGCTGCAGAGACGTAGGTTGATACTTCAACTACGTCTAGAATACTTCGCACCGCTCACAGAGAGATTGAGCGATGTCTTCTGAAATATAACCGGCACTCTCAAATCTAGCCGGAATGCGAAGCTTTGACCTTCGAAATTTGTCACATCTTCGAGATCCAGGAGAATATACATTAACGAAACATAGATGGGCCGGTCACATAATGAGAAGAACAGACGACAGAAGGACGAAAAGAACAGTAGAGTGGACACCAAGAGAATGCAGACGTCCCCTTGGGCGACCTCCTACACGCTGGGCGGACATGTTCGTAAACAAAGTTAATCAGCTGTACCCGCAGCTGCGGTTGCTTTACAGATCACGGTATGAAACTCGCAAGCGCTACCATATTCGAACAAGACCACCAACATGCACTACGATTGCGAGAGAAAGAAATGATTAGCATATGTGCTGGGGTCCGCACAGTTCGTGAAGACGGACGGTCCAAGTATCCAAGTAACGAAGTAATGATTGAAGCGTTTGGCCTAGTAAATTGTATATCAGTATGCCCTTCCAGGCTCTGACGAAGGCGATACTGTCGAAATGTCAGCTACTGTTGTATTATATTTTGTTTTTCTATGGAATTAAATATACGCTGTTTAACAACCTCGCGATTGCTGAACAAGAAAACGACGCATAACTGGCTTTACTAGATGAAATTCCGCATATCTGTTTCGTTGTTGAAGATTTAAGACAGCGAAAAATTTGACAAAAATAAGTAGCGATAAAAAGTTGTAAATAGCAATAATAAAATAAATTTCTAAGCTCGATGAAGTCAGAACATTACTATGGTAGATTCTAATTATTCGTATCCAAATGGCTGAACTCGTTATAAGGCGAAATACGCTGGTTAAATTGAAAGCGGAGAACACTTTCATATGGCACGAATTTAAATAGATTCACTTCAGACTCCTAAGTGGTAAGCACTGTAGGGAATGGGCACAGTTAGACGNTCGATGAAGTCAGAACATTACTATGGTAGATTCTAATTATTCGTATCCAAATGACTGAACTCGTTATAAGGCGAAATACGCTGGTTAAATTGAAAGCGGAGAACACTTTCATATGGCACGAATTTAAATAGATTCACTTCAGACTCCTAAGTGGTAAGCACTGTAGGGAATGGGCACAGTTAGACGGTCTGTTGATGAACTATTATAAGTCCTCGGTGGAGATTTGAAATTAAGTAGAACATTCCGTCCAAAACTCGTTTTCGTGGTATACAGCGTTGTTTACTTCTTGGATGACAGCTTCACTTCTCCAGCTTGTCTATTCGAACAAAGGCGTTAAACAGATACGAAAAAAAAGAGGTGGCACAATAATAGTGTCAATAAGACATTAGTTCCTATTTGCGAGAATATAAGTCTTCTGCTTTTGATTCATTCCATTAAATTATTCTTATGTCTACTGGCGACCCTTCTTCCTTCCCAAAAATGAACTTTCAACAAACCCCAATTTGCTTTATTTCAAATACCATGTTCTTCTAGTTTCAACCGCCTTTACTACGCTTTGAACTCTTCAAAAAAAAATCACGGGTTTTTTTTTCACTACAAACCAATTCGTCTGTCTGATCGTCTTCGTGTATAACGAGTCTTATACTCTCTTATCAGTTGTACCACCTATTATAATAGTTATAATTAATCATACTGGTCTTCTGCCGCGAAGATCGAAAATGAAGCGAGGTAACAAGATCTCGTATGAGTTAGATTCAATAGATGATAGGTGGATGTACGAAGAAACATGCACCACAAAAATTACATAGAGTGATCTTTCCTCTTGTATTGTGAAGGTATCGTCATTTAATTGGAGAATGTGGATCTCCTTGCTATTAGTCTCTTGAAGTGGAGGAGGGAAATCGTATGGATTTCACCATAATTTGTGGCCCGAAACGTGGCGTTAAGAACGACTCATGATAAAAGTGTTCTAGTTACGAATATGATGTCGAAGAATGGAATACGTAGCATGCAGAGCAGTGAGGCGAGATTTACTTCTTACCGAACGAGTTTCCTCTTCTTTTTCTAAAGCCCCGCGGCGGCGCTAGCAGATTGTCTGAACACAAAATATGGAAAACTAGATAATGAAGATTAATTCAAGCAACTTTAACGCCTGCGCAGTGGAGAAGAATGAAACCAGCAGAAACATAAAAAATCAAGCATGACATAATTCCTACTCTTGGTAGTCGCTTATACGCTTGATGAAACCTATACGTCGCCGTTTCGAGTTTTTCAAAGATTCTGGCGCAGCCACCGTCTTCAACATTCACTAATTCGCATTTTAATCCTCCTCAGTGACAAAGGTTACTTTCGGTTTTGTTTAGGTACCCTTTCGGAAAACTTCTTCCTAACCTAAATATAAACACAGCTGCTATAAATGAGTTAATATGAAGCAGATTTTTTTCAGCCATATCGACGGCGATCATAGTCTTCGTGCTGTACGAAAACCTGCGTTCTCAAAACGACGAAAAAATTACTCATGGCTATTTCCTGAGTGAACCACAACTGGGTCATCAGGTGGGTACGAAACAGTAATGTAAAATAATTACGAGGGTGATAACAGGTTCGTCTGAGTGAATACAGTGATACCAAATTAACACTAATAATGGTATAAAAAACGGTATGTCCCGATGAACTCGAATTTAGATAAGGACGATTTTTATAAGCTACGGTTTATCATTGCCTAACTTCAACCTTAGAACACGTTTCTACACTGCAAATTATAAAAATCACATACTTTGAATTGTCCACAAACGAGAAGACTTTCTCCATTTAACTCGTTGCTACACACAGTCTAAAGAGGTGACCGAGGTAGAACATGGATGCCGTTGAGAACGAAAACCTGTCGCCTTCCCGGCTCTTCGATATGATGAATGCTGGTTGTCCGTTGTTTTCCATGGAATCAAGATTCCCATTCTGAGGTGTTCTCAGTTCTCAGTAAATGGCGCCGGGCTTGTAAAACTGACTGAGTTCCGTTGGTTTAAAGGAAAACGACTCAGACGAAAAAAATACGGTTCTTGTATACCTCCTCGAATCGTTCAGTTTGATGTTTTCCCTAAGAATTCACTATTCGGCACCAACTGAAAAGAGGATTACGAGGATAGTGCTAGAATTTCAACGATCAGGCTAACAAAATCAGGAAGTCTGAGGAGAACTGGATTTAGGCATTGCCAAGTACTTGATAATGTCGAGTAGAGGCAGCGAGTCAAAGGTAGTGAGAGAAAATCATTTGATATGTAATATAACACTATTTCCGAAAAGCATGAAGGTTAGCACAACTTTTTATTTACTGCCCATTATTTTTTCATGGCAGGGAATATATGAAATCTAGCCACAATTATTATGACATACTTCCAAAACTCAGACCACAGATCAGATTCGAACCTGCGATCACCCTTTTAGGGGGACGATGTTTGCGGATTCGAATCTGGACTGAGGCCTGAGTTTTGGAAATATCCTAGTAAAGTTGTGGTTGCATTTCACATAAAGGTTAGTGTTAAAAAACTTGTCACGATAACAAACCACAAGCAAGCAGCCTCTCGACGAAAACCAATTTCTCCAATGTTCTAATAAGCGAAAAAAAATTGTAAAATGGATCAAACGCTATTTCAAAGAGCATACAGAACAGGAGAACTGTACTGTAAATGTACGTTGCGCATGGTATGAATTTTCTAAAATGAAGGAAAGTAATGAGCATTTCTAAAACACCATGCTTTCGAAAACTCGAGGACGTACCGCAAAGCTAGCGAGTGTGACATGCACCGCATACGAAGAGGGATACGATTTAAGACTCTACGCGCCCGAAGTGGCTCATAATTTTTTGTTAAGAAAATGTTGATCATGGCCATCAGCGAAAAACTGAACTGCAATCGAAGACCGGCAATGAAGCGTTCTTTCTTTTAATGAAAGTGATGAGTGCTGATAAATTGAAGCAAACATCAAAATATTCACTACGAAGCAAACAACCGCTCCCAAAAGACTATAACAACTGCAGATTATTGGAATTGGTCATTAAGTTAGGCATTATACTTGATATACATTTGGCACAGAGATCACACATTCGCAGAATCCCCATTATCGTGTTAAGTGCTCTGTAGAAGAACGAAGGAAGATCCACCTTAAAAACCACGGAATACTGTGGAACGAAAAAGGAAGAAGATTGCTAAGATGCTTTTGTCCACTTTCCCTCCAATGCCTTTTTTAAAGCATGAATGGGGCTGAAATCAATGGTAACCGTATTCTGTAACCGAAAAGAACCATCAAACCTTCTACATACAGAATAAAACCATTTCACCAGTGCATAACGGTATGTTTCACCATTATTTGCCAAAAGTGGTGAGTCATTGTAACCCAGCAGCACTCATATATCACACAGGTGACAAAGTACAGCTTTCCAGTTATGAACCTTCCAGTTAAAAAAAAGAAAGAACCAGTTTGATTTTCCAGTCGAATTACGGCTACATAATTGTTTGTTTTCAGAAGATACTCGTGCCGATAGAGCTGAGACAAGTACGAGATATGAGTGACGAAGATACCGAAAACGCCTCTGTAGGGGTGCAAACCAGTGGAACACGGACGCAGCAGGTATAACGCACCACAAGATCACAGACAACACGCTGGATGCAGTGTGAGAACGCCTCTCCAATGTCACATTCCAAAGACAAATGATCACTTCGAACGACGAGTCGGGTTTTCTAACTTCACATTAACAATATTCAATAAAATATACACCTACATCACTGTTACTTATATCTCCCAATAAACATACCTATATGAGATAACGAACAGACTTTATGTCCACGACCACAACTCAGTATTCCTCCCAGTGTTGCTTTCAATTCGTAACAAGCATGAAGTGGAAGCTACCAGTGAAACATTGGTCCATTATATTCTGATGTCTACTAACCAGAATGCGATTAGAATTCCAGGATGCTATGAAAGATGGAACAAAATTCCATTCATTCTCTGCTTACTGTTCGTTATGTATCGTTCCATTCCTGATACACTGATAAACACTTCAAATGCCAAACCTTAAGGAATTGCTTGTTATGTTAGACATCCCAAGAGCGTCAGTACTGCGTAAAGGTGATAGTGAAGTTTGTTCAATATATAACGCCCGAAATGCACTAGTTTCAATGCATGCGGTTATGCGCGGTGACAAAGGTGACGGAGTGCATTGACTTAAATGCGTATTCTTTTCAGTGAATTATTTTGCCGTGTTCTACTTCTTGAAATCAATCAATGGCTCACCTAACGCAGAAGTTATGCCAAATGAGACCCGGGAAAAACTACTCTCTACATTTAATAATTTACAAAAAACCTTTTCGGATGGTTTCATATTGCAGCGAGACTACCGCTGTTGTACAAAGTACAGAAACTGTTTCTGGAGAAGAAGGCACGGAAATGCGTCTACTTGAAATATGAAGTTAGAGACAGAAACAGCACTCCGCTTTGATAATTTGATAAATCGATGCGAAGTTTTCATCGGAATGCCTCAATCTCTACAGATTATGCGTACAACAACGTGCTTCAACACAGCCCAGAGAGAGTTTTCAAGCCCTGCTAGCATAACTTTGTACTGATGATGTCAACGTTTTGTAAGAAAGACATTTATTTTACAACCTACGATGTAAAATCTGGACGTAAATACAATTTAGACAAGCTTTATACAAGTAGTACTCTTTACACAAAAGTTGCAATACTCACCCCCAATCGAAAATTTTTACACAGTACATACGCTTCTTGTATAAATACAACCACCTTCTCATAGAACGCTTTTATAATTTAAGGTCACGAATCTTAGAAAAGGGTCCTGTCATGAATTCTGGACATCACAATAGCGCCTCTCTTTCTAATTTAACACTCCTATTCTGTTGTGCTGTACCGTTATTCTCTACTCGGTTTCAAATCGATAACCTTATTGGGACGTCTTACTTTCTTTTCTACTGGTATTAATAAGATGGTTGTTCTCTTCACAAAGTTCTCAACCAAGAGAATGACTCTATGCCAGTTCCATGCGTAGCGATATCTTCATTCACCGAACAAATCGTACAGAAACGCATCACTACTGAATGGGCGAAATCTCCAATTCAAGAAGAACAATCACGGTATAAATTAGAAGACAGGTAAGTGTGGACGCTTTTTGAGCAATTTTAATAAATCGAGAACGCATATGTGTCTTTTATGTGAGACGAAATAGGACTAGGCGACTCCACCTCTAAACGGAAATAGGAATTTGTTCATAACAGGTACTTTCCAAGCTTCTACATTCTACAGTGACTCCTATTGGTAGGTTCTACTAATAATCCACTTATTTGGAACTTCTCGTCGGCTATACATCGCACCGTGGTCGATATTATTAAGAATTGGCAAGAGGCCTTCAAATCTCACCGTAGTCAAAACATGGAGGCACTAGGATGCGAAGAAAGACCATGTGTGTAACTCCTATAAACCGGAAACTCTGTTACTATAAATTCTCAATCTTAAGGCGGATAGCTATGAGCGTCTTCGCCTCGTCAACACTTGTCATTTCCCATAACGGAATACGCGTGTTTATCTCTCCAATAATCGGCTCCCAAATGTCGGCTATAAACAATTCATAAAGATCTACCAATTCCGTGTTCCGAAGGAAAAGTTGCTGAACAACAATAAGTTGACTCTCGTCGAAAATCCAGTGTGACTGCTAGGCAATACGTTGTTATACAAGTTACAGTTGACCTTAATCGTCTTTCTTTTGTTCACATTCTGAAGAATATTCCTCGAAAGGATGCATAAGAGATCTCAAATTGTCCCTCACACCTCCAACTTCTTCACAGTTCTACCTTTTACTCTATCAAGGTGAAATCAAATATCCTTTCGAAAACTCCAATTCTAAATGGATTTGCACTAAAAATAACGACTTAAAAATACTGTTTATGTCCTTAGAAGAATAAAGTCTTTCAATTAACCTATCTAGGCATCAAGTCATTCAGTCTTCGGCCGTCGAAAAATTAACAGGAATTAAACGAACACCAACAATCTTAACCTTTTAATTTACTGCCTATTCTTTTTAACGGCAGGGTATTTTGCGAAGTATAACTATTATAATGCTGAGATATTTCTAAAACTCCGAACCGCAGGTGTCTGCGGTGGGGAACGAACGCGTTCTGTTCTTTCCGGGGAGTAACGCGATCACCACCACACCATGCCGGTCATTATTATTCATTAGAGTTATATTTCACAACATACTCTACCGTTAAAAAGAGTAGGCAGTAAATAATAAGTAAAAATTGCTGATCAGAATAATGTTTTTTGGGATTGTTTGATAGCTGTAGATTTCAGCTCTCATAGCCATATCACTACAACTTCACTTCCTCACATTATATGAAGCATACAAGACTCTACTTTTGACCAGTAATGGACCATTTCGAACCGTTAACTTAGTTCTTACAGAATAACTGGATATTAAAGTACGGAAATGGACTTAACATAATCTGCAAACCACTTCGAAATGATGGCGGCAATGATTATATATATCCTTCCAACGCCTCAGGCTCACCGAACCTTCCATCCCTCCGGGATGGGTAAACTGGAGCCAGACTTATCTCGGAGGATGGAAGCACTGGATCGATACATCGGTAGGCCACCGTAGGCCATTGTAAACGCCAGATATGCATTCAGTCACCTCCGCACAATGCTTAATGAAGTCGAATGCATGGCGCATCCCTCAGAGATTGATCAACGCCGGCAGCTTTATCTTTGGCTTTATATATATATATATATATATATATATATATGTAGTGTACAGTATATGGTATACATATATATATATATATATATATATATATATATATATATATATATACTACATACATGTATAAAGTTGAACCCTTCAAATATTTAAGTTGCTGAAAAGTTGTAGTTTTTCATAAAGAAACCAGTACCATTCCTTATGTGAAGATGGCAAAATGTTTAGATGGTAGAAAAGTTGTGCCCAGTTGTTCCAAGCCCGTAACAAACATAAAATTAGGCGTCCTCCCACGAGGCATCCACGCCTCAGGCATTATGTATTGTAAATATTTTATTCACTTCATACCACTCCTTTATTTCTTCATATTTAAAATTACCTCATTGAGATTGAGAATCCGTCTGAAGTGAGTGCTCCTCGAAAGTATGGTTATGCGCACACTGTTAAGACGTGGTCCTCGTTGGACAATGCGTAATCGATGAATAATGTATTGGGAGAATGCATGCATCAGCCCAGATCCATCGCATCCTTCCTCCTAGAGGAATCATAGGAATAAAATTAGAATTTAAAAGTGTTCAGGTAAGAGCACAAAAACTTGTTTTCGTTTGCCAGCCACTTTTCATATAGTGCAATTACACTTAATCTTCGCTTCAAAGCTTCTTTACTCTTATTTACAATTTTTTTTCGAATCTCGTATTGTTTGCTTCAAGGGGGCGGATAGTACAATGGTAATGATGGCGATAATCATGAGCACGGTGTTGGTTCATTCACGCCCCTGGCCCACCAAGCCTTTCATCTCTCCGGGGTCGGGAAATTGGTTCCAGACTATTCCGAGAAAAAATAATTTTCTGCAATCCAAATGGGAACGCTCCAGGCCGGCTATCTCAGGACTCCAGAGAGAATTGACTCGACCTTCTACGATATTCAAGATGAAATTAAAATCTTTAAGCATCAGCCGAAACCATACGTAAAGGTTGGAAGACCAAGGATGATGAATCCAAGAAAACGAATCGAATGTGAGAATATACACGAAAAAAACATATTGTTCGCTCCTCATGGTGTAATATCTTCTTTCCTTATGGTTTTTCGAATGATTTTTGTGAAGCCATTAAAATGCTTACTAAAGGCATGTTGTAGTAGAGACCGAAGCGCTGTCTAGCCAAAAGTGGGAACAAAGCGTTCCTGAAGCACACACGATGACCGGCTAGCGTGGTCAGCTCAACTGGCTTTGAATTAGAAAACACCTTCCAGGTTTCGCCAAACGAAGCATCTACGTATCCACCACTAAATGTATCCCACCACACAACGTCAACCTAAAATTGGACATTTCATTAAATCGCATTAAAGAACGATGTAATAATGACCTGCCTGCTGACTGAAGGATCCGTTAATATGTTGCGAAGCGTATAGATTGACAAAATCGCAAAAATGGTGATACATATTCACAGATGCGTCCAGTTTCATCACTATTGTTGACCGTTCGAAAATTATGTCACAGTTCTCGTAATTCACAACAAATGACGGCACCGAGACGAAATGTTTCAACTCATCTGCCCTTAACAAAGATAACACTTGTTAACAATGATTATTCTTACTAAGTAAATAGTCATCAGGACTATTTTAATTAAGCTCAGTCTACCAATACTTCAAAATCATCTTCTTCAAATACTCTTCAACAAATCGATCTATTCATTTCGGAAGATGAAGATATTAACTCTTTTACTTACTGCCTTTTTCTTCTTAATGGCAGGTTATGTTTCGAATTATAACTCGTATGAAATGCTGAGATATTTGCAAAACTCCGGACCACAGGTGTATGCAGTGGCGAACGAACACGCGCTGTTGTCCTTACCGGGGAGCAGCGCACTTCACCACTACACCAACCGGGACCCGGAAGTTCGTTCGCCACTGCATACACCTGTGGTCCAGAGTTTTGCAAATATCTCAGCATTTCATACGAGATGAAGATATTGTTCGAAATAAGCAGAATAAAAGCGAAAATGAAAGTACTGCACTAGATGGCCAGTGGAACACAGAGCAGTGGTTGGTGGGATTTTCCCTCTATCCACCAACTCTGGGTGGAATGCTCGACATTTTATAACTTCGCTACGCTGGACTTTTCCTGTAACTGCCGTGAACAACCTCGACTTTGGGTTATAACAGTTTGTAGCAATAATAACAATACAATAATGACGATATCTGATTAGGTGAGCAGGAATCAGCGAGATTGAGGAAGTTAGGCAAACACTGGAGTTGGAACACTGGGGGATTGAAACACAAGCACTGGTTTGATGACTAATAGTGCTCCTTATATTCCTTTTGTAATGGGTGAGGCTTTTACAGAGGGAACTAGAGACAGTGGTCAAGGTGGGTGGGGGTCTCGAAAAGTTCCTCGGTTAGTACAAGGATAGAGTTGCCTCAGAGACCTGATAAATGCGGAAAAGTATATCATAAGACGATATGTAAGGCTTCGTTAACATAAAGTTCATCAGACAGTGATTCAGAAGTTCATACAGAAACTTCAACATATAGCAAAGGAACGGCTTACACAAAGGCTTTTCAACAGTGTTTACGTGGAAGCGATACAAAGCGCAGAAAGTAAGAATAAACGTGGCCAGCAGTAAGCATAGTTAATATTGGAGAGATATGGGAGTGTAGAAAATAAGAACCATTTGAGAAATAGTTACTATAAGTACACTTTCTTTCAAGCTGTTCAGAAAATTATGGGAACTGGATCTATCAAGGTGAACTCCTAATTGTATTGTATGTACTCAAATTTTTCAAATATTCGGCGAGATTCAGTGAGATTAGTGAGCAGAGCTCAACAATGTTAAACTAGGGCTCATGAATTGATGAGTCCATAAATAGTAACGCGCTGCTCAGTATACTTTAGTATGAATCAAATTATTATCCAAAGGAGCATCAAAAACAATGATTGGCTTCCTGAAGAACGGGTAGTAATCACGAGTATGTTCTAGCTTCTTACAACGTCGAGCATTGAACACTGGTTAGGAAAAAGTGGCGTTTAACAACAACTGTCATAGAACTTCGAATGTCTCCGATTTTCTAAAATAGATTGAAACTCCTATGTTGGGGAAGTTAAGTTGATTTGAAGTTGACACAAACAGTAGCCTATTTGCACTACCAACACTCATAAGCCATTCAATAGCTCGAATCATGAAAAGTGGCAACAATGAATCAACTATAAATGGAGGTGGAGGATAGCACAGTGGTAGTGATGTTGATCATCACGAGCATGGTGCTAGTTAGACTCCGACCCTGTCCAACCAAGCCCCTTATCACTCCAAGGTCGGGAAATTGAAACCGGACTTGTTCGGGGAAAATTTCACTTTCTGCAATTCAATTGGGAACGCTCCAGCCCGGCTATCCCAGGACTCTAGGGAGAATTGCTCGACCAGCATTCTACAACACCTAAGATGAAATGAAAATCCTCAAGCAGCAACCGAAGCCACATGCAAAAGTTGGAAGACCTCTGTGAATAATGGGTGCGAGGAAATTGAATGTGGGAAGTGCTGGGATCCGCACAGTAGACGTGAAGACAGGTCATATGAAATAAAATAAAGTAAAGTAAAATAAAATAAAGCAAAATAAAAGTAAGTGAACTAAATCGTCCATATTTGCCATAGCAATCAAATTACTCACTTTAGTTTCACACATAAAAGTATACAAAAAATACCAACCAGCTTCGTAGATAACCACGCTCATTCAGATTTTTGCTAAGGAGTTCCCTATTTAATTCAGCACAATTCCCTCCAACTTCACCGGGTTGTACTATATCGTCGCGGTACCTGCAACAGTTAAGAATATTCAGAGAATAAGATCACAAAAATTTTTAGGACATACCGTTTAGAGTTTGTAGCATTCCAACTCTTGAAATGGAAAAAGATATTAACCCCATGACAGTAGCGCAGATCATCTGAACATCTCAAACGGCTTCCTTCCTATGAAAAATAACAATAAATAGAGCAGTAAGAGTCGTGAAAAAATTCGTTTTTTTTTGCTGTTGAAATCACATAAAGCTACTTATTAGTTGTATAAAAGTAACCCGAAAAACCTTATGTGATGAAGAACAGATTTGGTAGATATTACTTCGCTTCAAGACATAACCGAAGTCAGCATAATCGAAAAACCTTTTCCTAAATAAGCAACAATCTTATGCCCTTATAGATAACGTTCAGGATAGATTTACCTAGCTATCAATGACTACTACTCACCGCTTATTAGCCGACGCACATTTTGGAAAACCAAATTCTGCGGAATAGCTGTCCTCAAAGGAACAGTTCTTCTCATACCCCCAACAACGGCCGTTGGAAAGAGTGTCTTCCTTAAAATTACTGCAAGTCAACTAACTAATTTAGCCCAATATAGGATACAGCCTACATTGAACGGACAACCTCCTTCTTGACATTTCTCTCTGAGTACAGGATCATTTCTAATTGTATACTCTAGCAATTTCGAAGGCAAATTGAGATCGACTACCCAGTCACTCGTAGCCGTGTGCAGCAGCAGTACGGTTACACAAACAAGCATGTTCGTATCAATCCTGTGAAACACTAAGAATACACATGAAAACATGTTAATATTAATCCAACTCCAAAGCAAACTGATGTAATTCTTCGTATTTTTGTTGAGCAAACGCGAGGTGTTATTATTCTTTATTCACGAATGAGCTGACGTTTCGACGGATTTCGCCTTCCTCAGAGCCTGGAAAGGTCAAGTTGACAGCAATCTACTTGGCCAGACGCCTCCATAACCAAACAAAGAAACTCTAAACCAAGATTTCAATCACACTGAACACAGCTTTGCACACTCACCGCTTTCTATGAGGTCACCACTAAGTATGTCACGTAGAGACCAACCGCACAGAAATCACATGGAAGTATAATGTGCCCCACTCATCAAAATAGCAGTCTTATATACTGCCCTACATCACGCGTGATAATGAGGCATTCTTCCCTGCGGTTCATTTTCGGATTTCTGGAATTAATCCAGAGTGCCTCGAGAGTTTTTCGCGCCTGTGTTCTTGATTCGCGTGCAAGGATCGTGACACATACTTCAAAGTCCTCCCCGTTATGTCTCTGGGTCCTATGCGTGCCTAGCGGAGTATTTGGTCTATGCTTGCCAGCTAGGTGTTCTTTTATGCGGACACAGAGGGGTCTGCCCGTTTCGCCAATGTATTCGTCACCCCACGTCTTACAGGAGATCAGATAAACTATACCCGAGCTCATGCAATCACCGTCTCTACCACTGGGGCAAATTATGCAGTTTTGAGTTGCACATAGACGGTCATATAGGCGGTTACGAACTAGCTGGCGCTTAAGATTACTCGGTGGTATTTCAACTACGCGTACCGAATTCTCTAAACCCGCCCTTCTTAAGCAGCGTTTTACAGCTGTACTTATATCATTTGAGATAAAGGGTAGGATAAACGGGACCCTTCTTCGCTCGCTCCTTCATTATACTTCCACGTGATTTCTGTGCGGTTGGTCTCTACGTGACATACTTAGTGGAGACCTCATAGAAAGCGGCTCTGAAGAAGGCGAAATTCGCCGAAACGTCAGCTTAATCGTGAACAAAGAACAATAACACCTCGCGTTTGCTCAAAAATACTAACAAAATCACTCTATCGCTAGAGTTGTTGTCTGGAGGCCTAGGATTTTCCCTACACCTATCCTGAGCTACAGTTTCGTAGCCATTATTTTTCTTATCTTATTACTGCCTTTGCTCAATCTTCAGATGGTCTGGAAAGTACTACGCTCAAATAAGAGGGTTGGCAATGGGACAACAACTGGCTCCAAGCCTTGCCATTGCATTTATGTCTAAGGTGGAAGCACCGGTGACTGATCTCGGGCCGCTACTCTACTGTAGGTATGTAGACGACCGCTTTGTCCTTTGCTCAACACAAGAGGAAATGGACAAATGCTTCGAATTGTTAAACGCACAGTCGGAGTATATCAAGTTCACCCGAGAAAAGCCGAAAAAAAAATGGCTTCCATTTTTGAACGTACAAATTCACCTATCAGAAAATGGCTACATTACAAAGTGGTACCGAAAGCCAAGTAGTAAAAATATCTTGGTTCATTACCTCTCCTCTCACCCCTCTCACACGAAAAGGGCCCTTATGAGAAACATGTTTCGAACGGCAACCAACGTGTGCATGGGAAGAGAGCAGAGAGAGGAGTCCCGGAACTTGGCACAGCAAATAGCCATTTCTAATGGCTACGAAACTGTAGCTCAGAATAGGTGTAGAGGAAATCGTAGGCCTCCAAACGACAACTCTAGCGATAGAAGGGTCCCGTTTATCCTACCCTTCATCTCAAATGATATAAGTACAGCTATAAAACGCTGCTTAAGAAGGGCGGGTTTAGAGAATTCGGTGAGCGTAGTTGAAATACCACCGAGTAATCTTAAGCGCCAGCTAGTTCGTAACCGCCTATATGACCGTCTATGTGCAACTCAAAATTGCATAATTTGCCCCAGTGGTAGAGACGGTGATTGCATGAGCTCGGGTATAGTTTATCTGATCTCCTGTAAGACGTGTGGTGACGAATACATTGGCGAAATGGGTAGACCCCTCTGTGTCCGCATGAAAGAACACCTAGCTGGCAAGCATAGACCAAATACTCCGCTAGGCACGCATAGGACCCAGAGACATAACGGGGAGGACTTTGAAGTATGTGTCACGATCCTTGCACGCGAATCAAGAACACAGGCGCGAAAAACTCTCGAGGCACTCTGGATTAATTCCAGAAATCCGAAAATGAACCGCAGGGAAGAATGCCTCATTATCACGCGTGATGTAGGGCAGTATATAAGACTGCTATTTTGATGAGTGGGGCACATTATACTTCCATGTGATTTCTGTGCGGTTGGTCTCTACGTGCATACTTAGTGGAGACCTCATAGAAAGCGGTGAGTGTGCAAAGCTGTGTTCAGTGTGATTGAAATCTTGGTTTAAAGTTTCTTTGTTTGGTTATGGAGGCGTCTGGCCAAGTAGATTGCTGTCAACTTGACCTTTCCAGGCTCTGAGGAAGGCGAAATCCGTCGAAACGTCAGCTCATTCGTGAATAAAGAATAATAACACCTCGCGTTTGCTCAACAAAAATACGAAGAATTACTTGATCAATGCCGAGGTTAATAGAAAGTCGGTCGTGGGAGCAAACTGATGTTTCAGGAATCCTAAATCATTAATGCGTCGAAATCAATGCATATATGCGGATAGGCCAAATATATTACACCACATATACGCAGGTACAAAGTTTTTCAACAGTTTCGCGATGATACGTATTGGTTGCAAAAATCGTGGGTCTGTGACTCATTTTTTTGTCGCTCGCTCTATTTCGATGAACGCAGATGGTCTACCGTACTTCGATGACTGAAGAGATGAACATCAAGTACTTTCCTCGTTAGCAACAGTCTCCGACTTATTCAGTAGGTACAAAAGGCTAGAAATCGTTGTGAGGCCACATGATTGTATTTCTGCAGCAGACACACAGTTGTCGCTTGTGGTAGCCTACGCCATCGGTAAGCCTGTGCACCCTCTTCACTCCAACAACAGCCGCTGTTGTGGAACCACCAAGCCACTCCGATGAGGTTTTCATAAGTTACTAATCATAGAATGCAAATTTTTCTTTCACCAAACCTGGTACAAAATCTATTGTGGAGAGGCTAAAAATTGAGCACTTGGTATAACAAATTCGGAGACCGACCTCCTGGTAACCTCGGCACTGACCAATAAATAATTCGTCATATTCTTCTTTGCAAACACGAGGCTGTTGTTTCACTATTTATTCATAATACGTGACGACTGGGTTTCTTCACGTTCTTTAGAGCCTGCAAAGATAAAATTGACAGTCTGCTCAGGAAAACACTTTCATAGCCTCACATAAAACTTAGATAAATTTCCACTAGCACAGCTAAGAGCTTCTTCTTAACACTCACTGTTCGTTCCCTGTTCGCTCCCAGTTATTTAATGGAGATCGGCCGCGCAGGATCTCACAACGGCGAGGAATGTGCCTGGCCCAGGTCAAAAAATCAACATGAGGGATGATGTGAGGTTCTCGTTACCACAAAGCACTCCTCCCTGCGTTTCATTTTTGGGCTTCTTAAACTTACCCAGAGCGTTTTAAGAGTTTTGTGTGGAGGTATTTTGGATTCCTTTGCGACGATAATGACTTTTACTTCAAAACCTTCTCCGCTGTCTTTATGTCCTATACATGGCTAGTGGAGTGTTCTGCTTGCCTTAAAGTTTCCCAACAAGGTGCTCTTTTGTACGGATGAAAATTGGTCTACCCGTTTCGCCAACATATTCGTCCCCTAAAGCTTAACAAGAAATCGGGTACATTGCCGTACCCAAGGTCATGCGATCACCATCTCCAACATCACGGAAAATTCTGCAATTTTGAGTATCGCACAGATGATCATACCTACCGTTACGAACTAGTTGGCATCTTAGAATGTGCAGTGGTATTTCAATCACTGCTGTCAATTTCTCTAAACGCCTTCTAGCCAGCTTTGTTAACATTCATGGAGATGAAAGTCAGGCTAAATGGAACCTTTTTTCTTCAAACTTGTCGTTCGAGACCTTGTTTTTCCCTTGGGTTCACCTAGCGAAGGACCTATCGATTCTTAGCCATTGAAAATGTTTTTTTTTTGCCGCATCAAGTTCTAAGAGTTCTCATTCTCCTCTCTTCTTGCGCACGCATTTGTGGTTGTTTGGAACCTGCTCATTCCACCAAATCAAGACTTACCATCGCGTTCCTAGCCTTCGAATTTGGTCTCCAGCCAATACTAAAGGTTTATCCACGACTGTCATCTGCTCTACAGAAGAATAAAGGATAAAAGGGTAAAGCTCTCAGCATTGATCAATCACTGAGAGATGCACCATGCATTCGACTTCATTACATATGATTGGATGTGATTAAATGCATATCTGGTCCCCACAATGACTCGCGATGGTCTACCTATGTACCGAGCCAGTGCTGCTATCCCCAAACAAGTTTGGAACAAATTTCCCGACCCCGGCGGGATGGAAGGCTTGGTGAGTCTCGGGGGGGGAGGGATGATTCCACGTGTATTGCAGAGCGCCACTGACCACTGCGCTACACGCGCATATGCGCTACTCTAATAGATAGACGAATGTTTCGAAATGTTAAACCAACAGTCAAAGTACGCAAATTTCACCTAACTGAAACCAATAAAAACTGGCCTCCGTTTCCGAACTTTGGAATCATCCTATACAGAAACAGATCACCAAATGATACTGAAAGACAAGTAAGAAGATCACTGGTTCATTACCTCTCCTCTCACCTCTACCACACAAAAAGTGCACACGTGATAAACAAGCGCATCAAAAAGCAACAAGTGAGTGCAAAGAAATGGAGAAGCAGCAATCTGTGAACTTCGCGCGGCAAATAGACATTTCCAATGGCTACGAAATTGTAGCTCCTCGAGATAGCTTAAAAGGAAAAGCACGCCCAGAACAATAGGCCTAGCGAAAACAAGGTCCTGTTTTAGTTCCCAGGATCGACTTTCTATTAACACCGGCATTGGAATATGAATGCATCGTTTTCTTGCTCAGCAATTGCGAGATTTTTAAACAGCATACATTTACTTCCATAGAAAAACACAATACAATACAACACTAGCTGACGTTTCGGCAGTATCGCCTTCTTCAGAGCCTGGAAGGGTATCCTGATGTACAATTTACTAGGCCAAACGTATCAATGACACTTACAAAAATACGAAAAACTCCATGGTAATTACATGATCAACAGCTTCTCGAAGAAAAAAACCGCTTTTACGTGATTTCCAATGAGGAAGTTTAGGACAGCTGATTATAGTTATATATGGTTAATATGGCACCATCTCACATCAGAAATTGATGCGAACATACGGGTTCAGGTCGCGCATGACCTCTGGGCATTCATCCCTGTTATTCATTGCAGGGTTTTTGGCATTTATCCAAAAAGCCTCAAGAAGTTTTCGCGCTGGTGTTTTAGACTCCTGTGCAAAGATATTGACTTTTACTTCAAAATCGTCTCCGCTATGCTTTTGTATCCTATGCGTGTCTAGTCGCGTGCCTTGTCTTGCTTTTTGTTCGCCATCTAGGTGTTCATTTATACGGATACACAAAGGTCTGCCCGTTTCGCCAACATATTCATCTCTGCAATTATTACAAGAGATCAGGTATATCGTACCTGAACTCATGCAATCACCGTCCCTGCCGTAAGGACAAATTACGCAATTTGTTGTTTCACATAGATAGTCATACAGGCGGTTACGAACTAAGTGACGACGTAGAGTAGCCGGTGGTATTTCAACTATCGCTACCGATTCCTCTAGAACTGCCCTTCTCAAGCATCGTTTTATAGCTACGTTTACTTCATTGCTTATAAAAGGTAACATAAACGGGATTTTTTTTGGCCTAGTGTTTCGCGTGGGCGCGTCGCTCCTCTTCTAAACTTATCTCGTGGGGTTACTATTTCGTAGCCATTGGAGATGGCTATTTGCCAACCAAGTCGCGCGATTCTTCCTTTATTTACCTGATAGTGCACACAAAGGTGGCTGTTCGAAATATGCTTCTCACAATCGCCCTCTTTGTGTGCGAAGGGCGGGAAGAAAGGAAATGAACGAAGATGTTCTTGTTACTTGGCTTTCGGCACCACTTTGTCAACTAACCGCTACTCGATAGGTTTATTTGAACGTTCAAAAACGGAAGCGTTTTTCTCGGGTTCTCCCGGGTGAACTTTATGTACTCAGACTGCTCGTTCAATAACTCAAAGCATTTGTCCATCTCCTCCTGCGTAGAGAACACTACAAAACAATTACCTACATATCTGCAGTAGTGGCCGGAAATCGAGAACAGGGGCTTCTATCCTAGACATTAACACAATGGCAAGGCTTGGTGCCAGTCGCTGTCCCATTGCCAGCCCCCTTATTTGTGCGAAATATTTCCGAGACCATCTGAAAATCGAGCAGTTTAGGCACTCCTTTAAGAGAGCCATTAGCTGCTGGATGGACAAGCCATGCGTATTTATTCTTCCCTCATGTTTAACAAGAAGTTCGAAGACGACTTGCATTGCGGAGTCATTCGACACCTAGATGGCAAACGAAAAGCAAGACAAGGCACGCCACTAGACACGCAAAGGATAGAAAAGCATAGCGGAGACGATTTTGAAGTAAAAGTCAATATCTCTGCACAAGAGACTAAAACACCAGCGCGAAAACTTCTTGAGGCTTTTTGTATAAATGCCAAAACCCTACAATGAATAGCAGGGATGAATGCCCAGATGTCATACGCGATTTGACCCCGTATGTTCGCATCAATTTCTGTGGGATGGTGCAGTCATCAACCATATGCGACTATAATCAGCTGTTCGAAACTTCCTCATTGGAAATCACGTAAAAGCGGTTTTTTTCTTCGAGAAGCTGTTGATCATGTAATTACCATAAAGTTTTTCGTCCTTTTGTAAGTGTTAATGAGACGTTTGGCCTAGTAAATTGTACATCAGGATACCCTTCCAGGCTCTGAAGAAGACGATACTGCCGAAACGTCAGCTATTGTTGTATTGTATTGTGTTTCTATATGGAAGTAAATGTATGCTCTTTAAAAATCTCGCGACTGTTCAACAAGAAAAGGTGCTGTTTCTCGTACCTGTCAATTCAAAAGAAATACCTACAGCCATGAAACGTTGCTTAAAAACACCTGGTTGAGAGAAGCTGGAATCGGTGATTGGAACACCAACGAGCACTGAAAGACGTTTGCTAGTTGACAACCGTTTGTAAGACTGTTTATGCGAAGTGAAAAACTTCATGGTTTGCCTTAATGGTAGAGAAAGTGATTTCATGAGCTCGGGTACGGTTTATCTGATCCCTTGTAAAGCGTCCCGAAACGAATACGTTGGCAAGACAGGTAGAGCACTCTTGCTCCTTATAAAAGAACATCTACTCGGCGAACTTGAAGTTGAACCAAATACTCCACTAGGCGCGCTTAGAACTCAGAGACATAACGGAGAGGATTTTCAAGTAAAAGTCACTATCCTCACACAGGAATCCAAAACATCAGCGCGTAGAGCTCTTGAAGAATTTTGGACTAATTCCAAAAATCGAAAAATGAACCACAAGGAGAAGTGTCTTATGATCACGCGTGAGGTGGCACCACACGTCAACTCGACTCTTTGTGGTCTGAGTCAGTCACATTCCTCGCCCATGTAGGACTCTAATTTGGCTGGTTTTTTCCATAACTATTGTAAAAGACAATAATGCTGAGATATTTGCAAAGTTCTTGACCGTAGGTGTTTACGGTGGGGAACGCGCTGTTACCCATTCCGTGTGCTAACGCGTTCACCACCACACCATGCGAGTCCTTCGTTTCGCCTGTCTTTCGGTCAGTTTTCTATCGACCAGTGCTGTCAGCAAACGGAAACGAAGGCGTACATATAGCAAACACCACGCATCTCGGTCATAGAGGCACCACTTACCGGTTAGTCGCAATGGAACGCAGGTGGTGGATAGGGGATTAAACACGGACGAAAGGCTACCTCGCACTTCTCTTAGACGCAGGTGAATCCAGGAGATGGACTCCCTGTTTCTGCTTCGCAGATTTGAAACATACCTTTTATGCTCACGAAGACATACTCAAGCATGGGCGTGGCTGTGATCTCGTTTATGCAAATCGTATCTTACAAGCCGACTCGTCTAAACCCTGCAATCAAGTAACAAGAAAGTATATGGAAGGCGGTTAGAAGTACCTTCAAACAAGTAAGCTCCTCGTTTACCTTGAGAGAGACTGGCAACCCACACGTAAGTATATCCCAGCCCCCAAATTCAAGTCTCAGAAAGCTAAATTTGAGTGACAAATGCTAAACACAGCAAAATAAGTGGGCCTCATTCCCCTGAACCCAAAAGAGTCCTCGATTTGGCAGCGTTGGGTAGGACGAGTACAGGGACGCTGGTAAAACCACGGAGCCATCCTAGGCTGTCTAAATAGCAAAGACTATGGCAAGGATCCGTACCTACAATGCACGTCCACTTCCTTACTTACTGAGTTCTCGACAAAAGACTTGATCATGCAAGCAAGAAGGGTAGGCTACGACGTCATCGGATTGGCAGAGGCAAGAAGACCGCACTCATTTGACGCCGTTTATGACACCAGAGATGAACTGTTCCTCGAAACACGCTACAGTTGAATAGTTGGCGGTATCGGCGTATACATCAACACGAATTGGTCATTCATTCGAGCAACTAAGAACTGGAATCGGACATTTATGATTGGAGACATGGGGAACAATGCTGGCTTCGACAATTTGCGTCGTTTACCCACCGTCATCAAGCTATAGCGAAGACGAAGGCGAAGCTCTTTATGTGGACTTGGAGAAGTTCTTCAGAGAAGACCATACATTCTTTAAGGTCACCATTGGAGAGATCTGATGAACTCCACATTGGAACCCAAGGATTAAAATGGAACAAGCAGGGTGAGCGGCTGAGTTAATCATGGTGATCGAGATCATTCACTTTGAGCCACAACTCCAGAAGTCTCGCGCTCGACTCTGGATCTGGGAGTCTCGTAAGGAAGACCTGACTGTTGGCCTCCATCTTTCTCAAAACGGTTGTAGATGTTTGTAGGATACTCATTCCAACCAAGTCCGAATAGATTAGAGCCTTGAAGTCAAGCATCTGTATTTCTTCATATTGTCACGGTGAATCCTTGTCTTTAGCCAACACGTCCCAGTGACTAAACGGAGCTTTGCCTGACTGTGGTTTTCGATCGAGCTTTCAATGAATGCCAGCTTCGAACAGCTGGCAGAAAAGAACGTTCGATGCTACAGCGACATCATTCCTTTTTTTCCATTTTAGAAAGATCATGCTGGTCGGAGTCCACTGAACTTCATTTGTGTTTTCCTCAGCATCTGGTGGACGACTTGCTTGAAACGGTCATCCCAATTTTCCGTGCACGTCCCATTATAGTGAATTTTCCTACTGACCAACTTTCCAACCAGAGAGAGAATGGTGTTTTAATTATAAGTACAAACATGCTCTCTCTCCAGAAAACTCACTACCACCAATTCAGATACAGTCGTGCTTTTCGTGGAGGTCTTTTCATCGACATAAACCTTAATTTTAGACGTGTGTGAGCCTTTTGCACATAATTTCAAAGCGTTGATGCGGTGCTTGTGTCTCTTCACTCATCCAGATGTCGAATTCATAACCTACTGAGTGTTCTTCCCTTCGAAATCACTGTGGTAAGTAGAGTTATAGCATGGAATAAATAGAAATGAATACGTGGAGGAATCGACTATCAAATGCCGTCTGCAACGTGGTTGTGGGGTGGAAGTGTTTTTTTTTCATCACGTAACAGTTGAAAGTGTTCAAAAAGCACAGAGCTAGAAGTAAAAGCATAGAAGAGAACACACAGAAGACCTTACATCATTCAGAAGATATCAAAGATGCAAAAACCGAATCACAGAGCGAATGGTACAACAATAGGTAGAGAGTACCGTAAGAGAGGATGTTGAGCCAGCACGAGTCGCACATCACTCAGCGTCCCGGCAGCCAAAAAACTACACCTCGTTCTTCACGTCTGCCACACAAATTTAGGCGTTGTTTCCAAACAAGAACACCTGGTCCGCCCCCATCTATTAGATTCCAAAGTTCTTCATGGCTTAATGTACGCCTTGCAAACTTCTACTGAAGTGAATAGAATAAAAGAGCAAGCGGGGTTATTGAAAGTGGTGTGTGCCATGTTTATTGAAATAGTCACAGCGAATCAGAGATGAGAATATCATGATGAAAACAAAGGCCGGCTAAATATATCACAACTGTGAGTCTCAACAGCCAGAGAACTCTGAATTTTGCTCGATGTCAGACGCAACAGAAGAATATTAACATGATAGCCAGATTTCAGAAAAACAAAGACAAACTGTGGTACTCCTCGCCTACTTTAAGCATGCAGAACCCACTGACCACAATGTATATGTGCTGTAGATTGAAACATCCAACAACAATAGTTAAAAACTTGTAGGAGCTCAAAAAATTGAGATTCAAACACAGCATATCTCTGAACCGCATTAAACAAGTCAGTGACTATGCGACTAGCACAGTTTCCGCCACTCAGTTGACGACAGGTGCAACGGACGCTACAGCCGTCATATAATTTTCCCATCTGTTTTCATTTCTAAGACCCATGATCACATTTTGTGAAGACATCAGCAGTACCTTCATCCAGCTCGTTGTCTTGCATCCATGGAGAACTTCAGATATGTGAACAATATAAAATAATATTGTTTGCTACATCCTGAATAATGGGCGCGTATGGCGCAGTGGTCTGAGGCGCCCTGCAATATACATAGGACCAAAGCCCATCCCTGGCCCACCAAGCCTTCTGTCTCTCCGGGTTCGGTAAATTGGTGCCAGACTTGCTTGGGGGGATAGCAGAACTGGCTCGATACATCGGTAGGCTACCGCGAGTCATTGTACAGGCGAGATATGCATCCAATCATCTCCGAACGATGCTTAATGAAGTCGCATGCATGGCAAATCCTGAGGGATTGATCAGCGCTGAGAGACTTATCCTTTATCCTCTACATCCCAAATATATCACGATTCCTCCAGATAGAGAAAGCTTAATCGCGGATCCACACAACAGTAAGATTTCACTTGTCCCAGATCTTACAATAAGACTTGTTCATACCATCTCGCCCAATCTTAACTGTAGACTTTTTCATCCATAGCGAAAAACAATTCTTTCTTTAAAACCACGCTCATGATACTACAAAGGTATTCACCAAAAGACGGTAAGACAACGTCATTCCTTTATGAATCTTTATGGAAGAAAATATGGCTGTCAACAGATGATAAAGTAAAGACTACACTTGGACACTCTATAAACAGTCAGATCAATATGACAAATAATATTCTACAGTGAGCTTTAGCATTTGGGCTATGCACCGTGTGATTTCCCATGCATGACAAACGAACAGCGAAAGAATAACATCTGAGATGCAACACCAAAAACATTTAAAAATTTTGAGAGAAGAGTAAAGTAGTGTGATCATGTAGTGCAAAAAGTTAGGTAAACCATGAGCAAGTAGCCTTCGAAATCGATTAAAAGCCAAATATTGAGGTACTACAAAAGATTTAGAGAAAGATACCATGGTTCTATGAACGTCTTAACATGTTCATTCTCCACTTAGTTTCTGTGGCATTGGTCAAGAATCTTATGCGAAACTGTACAGGATTCATGCAAAACACTAGAAAAATACGTAACCAATATTCCGGGGCTATACATTACAAAGCTCATAGGAGTAAGGTATAGAGGAGACAATAAAGGCAACTTCCCTGAGGACTACACGATGAAGAACAAGTGCTTAACGTAAAGCCGACGTAACTTGCAAAACTTAGAGACATGAAACCAATAAAAACATTGCAGCCACAGTTTCACACTTGATGGTAAGAACGCTGAGCTACACATAACAGAGATGAAACCTAGAATGGTGAGCTAAACGCAAAAGAACAAACCGTTGCGACCGATACTACGAAGTAATACCTAATGTGGTGCGCTTCACATGAGCGGGACATGTAAACGACACCAGAGAGCAAATCGTGGCTAGTTGTGTACAATGGTGAGTTTATATGTATATAAATATATAGTATATATATAATGTATATATAGAGTATGCTAAAAGTGTACTATTAACGACGAGGAGAATGATGTATACGCAAACCCGTGAGAATGTTCTCAAGCCGATCAACTTTCACCATGAGTTCCTTAACAATTCTGTTGACGCAATTTGCAAAACTCCTTCCATCGGTTCCCGAAGATGGTAACAGTGAAGGCAAAACCTATATTTTAAAAATGAAAAGAGTCCGAAACTTTTGCAATACTGGATCATCTAGAGCATGATATATGATAAACCAATGAGATTTTGGGAACATTTTAAACAACCGTAAACACAAACCTGCGAGTTTTGTTTGCCCGAGTCCTTACATAGTCCATTTACATACGACACACCGTTGCTTTTTTCATTCGCTTCTACGGACGAAGCAATTGATGTAGTGCGTTGGTGTTTGCTATAAAATCCATAAGGTGGCTCATCCGGAGTATGTTCTGTTCGCTCTGCTCGAAGTGGCCCAACCATCAGAAGAGGTCGATCAGGTACACGCATCTCTTCTCTAAAGAAATCGCCGTAGAATACTGCATATTAGATAGCATTACTGACTTCTCAGCACAGTCAAGCTGTTAACTTGTTCCGTTACCAACTAGTGTAACGTAAGTTAATTCCCACTTACAGATAGGGTACGGATCGCATCAAGTGGATCTACATAAACTCATTGAGTCGTCTACTTCACACTATTATCTCCGCACTTTTGGCATTCAATTGACGGATTAACTTATATATATATATATATATATATACATATATGTACATGTACATATACGTATGTACACATGCATGTGTATGTGTATATGTACATATGTATATTTATATATATATATATATATATATATAACAAAAGATGCTGCTGGTGGGTGAGGAAGGTAAAAAGACAGCGAAAGAGTCAGAGAATCATTAGAGTACTATGATTCACTCCCCACGTTCCACGGCTACTAATTGGTTTATGTACCCACAAGGTACCATGAAATCGACGAAATGCAGTTTTACACAACAACGCTGCTGAAGTCAGCGACTGTAACTAGGAAAGTTTTTTTGCAAATCGTACTCGTTGAATTTCCCTCCAACTAACTAATATGTTTTTAAGCTCCTCCAAAGGTATTTCCAAAAAAAAATCTTCATCAACCAAGTCACTGGTTAAAATGCTTTTGAACTCTTCAAGAGAACAAAGAGGCCCACCACAGTGACTCGATGGGCTACAAGAACACAGAATAATGTAAGTGAAAGCAGTGAAAAAAAACTTCGTATAGCAAAAAAAAAACGAAATGAGTTGGTATCAACACAAGACGACCAATGCGTAACCTCTATCCCCATGTAAAAGTGGAAAATTTATCAACATCCTAATTTAAACACTACATGAATGAAACAATGCAGAGAGTTTGCCCACCGCAATCGGTACATTTCCTCAGCAGTAGTTTGCTTCTCAGCCAGTTCGTTTTCCAACAATGTGAGTTTTTCAGTCATCTCATTTACCTGAAACAATCCTTAGACACAATGATTAAAAGAAACAAAACTAAGGAATCCAAACAAGGACGATTCTGTAAAGACGTAGCGTAGTTTAAATAAGGAACTCAATTCTAGTCTAATTAGGAAACTACTATAAAGATTTCCAACTTCGGCAATATTGATCTACGTCACTATTTCATCAGACAGAAACCACACCTTTCGCTCTAAATCAGCTACTTCTTGCTGATTATTCCTTTCATGCCTTTCCAGGTCATCATTTTTCTGCTCTAATTCGCGAATTCGCACACGATTACTGTCCTGTTCAGCGCGAAGCTGCGTAACCTGAAGAAAGAAATCCTAGATGAAAGCTGCTGAAATGATTCTTCCATCAGACACAAAGCAGAAACGTTTCCGCCTTCAAACTTCTGTTGATATTTAACGAGAAATAAATTGAAAAAAAAGATTTAAAAAACAAACAGTGAATTCCCTCTAGTAAACGGAAAACAAAGACCGACGCAAATGGTAAATATTAAATAAGTAGAAAAGCAATGACGTTATGTATAAAAGTGGAAAAAGCAATGGTGCTACTGTGTTTGGAAGTAAAATCCAGAAACAAATCTATACATAAAGAAATAAAAAATCATGAGCAAACATGACCTCCCTACGAAGAGCTTCCTCAATTCTTAGGAACTCCCGCTTCTCCGCTTCGCTTTTGCCCTAAAAAAGTAACGCAAATTAACTGGAATGAGACGCAGTGTAGGTTTGGAAAGTTAATAGAACTTCAGAAAATCAATAGAAATAAACGTACAAAATGCAACAGTTATCAACAAAGAGAGCTGCACTTGTAAAACTAAAACATTTCTCTATTAGGAAAAGTAGAACTAATATCTCGCATTATGAAGCGTATTCTACGCAAACTTCCCAACGGTTTAAAGCCTTACCGTGGCTAGGAGGTGTTCCTTGGTGCCGCGCTCTGATGTACAGTGGGTGATTCATCCCGTTGGCAGGGTCTCCGAAGCTGTGGAGCCCGGCGTTTCCAATAAGAAGTCCACATAAGAGTGAACCAATATTAGGATCCACCATCGTCCTGGTGTCAAACTAGTCTCATGGCATCAAATCTCGGTGGTGACCAGCTGGGGCAGGGTTTGGCTTTGCTGCTCTTGGGACTCTACTGAACCACAGTGACTGAACCAATGAAACTCCGAAACAGTGAAAATTCTGCTAGGGTCCACAAAACAAGTGAAGATGGGCCATCCAAATATTCAAGTATTTGTCACTAACTAGAGCTCTACTTGTAAAACTAGGGAATTTTTTCTATGTTATGAAAACTATAACAAATATACCACATTATGGAGCGTAATTTGCACATAATATTTGGAAAAATACATTCGGCCTCAATAACAACTCATGACACCGACATAAGCTTCTGGCAACATCTCTCTCCAAAACAATGGCGCTCCTTGGCACAACTTGTGCAGTTCTTTTCTATAAAACACACCTGAGCCTTCTCGGCTTCAAGTCTGAGTTGATGAAGTTTCGCCGCCGTTGATTTCGCTTCACGTTGAGCATATTCGATTTCCCGCTCCATCATTTGCTCCATTTCTTGACTCGTCGTTTTATACTCCTCAAATTCCTTAGCTTCTTTATCGTAAACGTTCTAAACAAATGTTTCCTTTAGCAACATCAGTATAGCTCTTACGCAGTGGTGAAGCTAAAACAAAGTATTTAAACAACAAGACATAGAAGGCACTAGTTTTTATAGTAATCAGCTGTAGATTTACTTGACGATTAGTAACAAAAAATGATGTGTTTCTGTCCTATGATGGCAACGTTGGTTCCAATAAACCACTGAAGCAAACACTCAGAAGAATTTACTTGTAAGGATAAAATTAAGATCTTCGCCTTACCTTCAACTGTAAGAATCGTTCTATGAGTTGATCTGGAGTTAGCCGCTTCAGCAACAGAACATCTTTCGTATCCATTTCCTCCGCTCTTTTCTAAACATTTCCCACAAACGATTAACAGTTAGTTGGCTGGAGAACGGTCAAGAGGACTCATAAGGCGACCAGAATCGGGTCAGACATGAACAATGGATCGGAACTTGGGCTCTCATACCTCAGCAAAGCAAAAGAAGTCATATATTGCAACACTGGATTCATCTCATGCTATCACAGAGACATATTAGAAAACGAATGAAATCTAGTGGCACTTCAGGCTGCTCAGATGAAGAACGGACAGAGGTTACCGGTACGAGGCTAACAGGTATGACAATGAACTGCTGAGGACCAATGGAGACGAAGCAACACGCATGCGTGCGCTTCTGCAATCTTCATTGGAGCGTGGAAACTTCGGCGTCTGGGCGCCAATGTAATTGGGGTCAGTTCCAACAGTACTTTTATCTCACCTGGTTAATGACCGCTTAATTTTGTAGTATTAGAAGTCCCATGTAATATTTATTGATCCGATTTTTATTTATCTCCGATATCTTCTCGATAATCAGAGGTATCATGGATTTAGACGAGCAATCATGAGGTTTTTAAACGATATTGTGACTGACGTTTCGAAATTTAATGATTTCAATAAATTTTCGATCGTCCATTAAGAACATGACATCGCCAGAAATACCAGCTGTGTGCTGGACAGCCCAGACGAGTCAATGCGGCTTTGAAGATCAGGATATTGCCGAAACGTAGAAGTTACAAAAGTGCTGGACAACCTCCCATTAGTTATTACAAACCTAAATCTGCATAATTCACTAAATTACTGTGCCTTTCTGTTCTGGAAATTAACTTCTTTTACCGGTGACTTTAGGTTAAGCGTAGGTAGAAGAAGGGAAAGGTAAAAGAGGGAAATGGTCTATAAAGTCTAGGTAAAAATCTGTGCTTGAAGTAGTGTATGGCACGGACAAAAGCTTTATTAGAGGTGGGCCTTCAGCCCTTGGAAAGATAGAGCTGAGGTTGCTTTCAAAAAAGCCCAATGTATATGATCGAGATAGATAAGGAATTCGTGCTACCAAATCGTCTACAATTTTTCCATTTCCTCTCTGATTAGAACCTCATGCTTTGTCATCTAGACCATCCAGGTTTTCATTTATATCTAGCTATTAAACCGCTCTATGTTTCCAGAAATATGTCATTCGAAGGAGGCTTCAAGATACCTGGGAGTTTCCTTAAGAGGAAAACTGACCAGAGCCATAGTGAAGGCGTTGGGACTAATCCACCGGGTGTGGTTGTATTTTATACAATATGCGATTCATGCAGCAGGCATTATATTGTGAATATTTATTTTTGCAGAAGATGTTGCGCTACTAAGGCGGCAAGGTATTTCCTCTAGCCGACTATTTGGAAATCTGACGCGCGGAGGACCAACATCAGTTCAGAGCGTGCCTAAAACTGAAGGTTAGTGCTTCCATACTTCGGGAGGTGTTGGTTTTCTGCGCGGATTACCGACTGGTTCGAGAGATAATAAAAGGGTAAAGCTCTCGGCATTGATCAGTCTCTAAGGTATGCGCCATGCATTCGACTTGATTACAAACCGTTGGAAGTGAATGAATGCATATCTGGTCCACATAATGGCTCGCGATGGCCTACTGGTGTATCGAGCCAGTGCTGCTATCTTCCCAGGCAGGTCTGGTACCAATCTGCCGAGCCCTGAGGAATGGAAGGCTTTGTGAGCCTGAGGCGCGGAGATCGATCCCATGTGTATATTGTAGGGTGCTACCGACCACTGCGCTACGTACGCCCGTACTGGTTCGAAGAAGCTCGAGTGAAGTCTGTGATGTGCTGTTGAATGTTGAGTTTTGCTAGGTCACTAAATTCAAAGTGGGTCATGTTTTTTACTCAGAATTCTCAAAAAAGGTCTTTTCTATTGGGTCTATGATCTTTCTTCTCGACATCTTCTTCAGTCTAGGTACTAACTCCTCTTGCATTCTCTATTCCTCCAACATAGTTTTTCTTCGAAAGGCGACTAAGTGATCCGTATTCTGCCCTGTTACTACCGAATGGGATACTTTAATTTTTCGATATCTTTCGATAGCACATTCGAGAAGACTGACCGAACTGTTCTCATCCTTACGTAGAGTTTGTTCCCAAGATTCGCGTTGGGTTAGGAAGAACACCAATGTGGAGAAAGTGGACGCTCAGTTGGGCACTATTTACCTACTGCATAAGTTCTTCCTTGCGTTCATGCTTGTATATCCGATATTGTTTGCTTTCTCCTCGATCATAGATGTAAGTCGTTCACTGATTTACCTTCCAGGCTTTTATAAATTCAGCTAGAGCTTGTTGTTTCGATGTCATTATTCCTTTGCGCGTAAGTAGGGTCGTATAAAACAGCCCACCATATCTTTCTTAGGTTCAGCTTTTTCGACCAGCTATCTATATGTGAGCGCGTATAGCGTAGTGACTGGAGGTCCTCTGCAATACTCATGGGATCGATCCCGCCAAGCCCTCCATCCGTCCGGGTTCGCCGGTTTGGTACCAAACTTGTATGGCAGGATAGTAGCACTGGCTCTATACATCGATAAGCCGCCGCGAGTCAATGTAAAGGCCAGCTATTCATTCAGTCACCTCCAGCGACGGTAGTAAAGTCGAATAAATGGTCCATCCCTCAAGGATAGGTCAATGCCGAGAGCTTTATTCTTTTATTTATACGTGGCCGTCAACATTCGCCTAGCTTGACTTACGCTTAATTATCAAGGTTGTCTACTTTTTAAATTTTAGTCCTTTTTTAAAAAGGACAATTTCTATGGGGGTGCTAGTAGCGCAGTAATAGAAGTGATTTCAATGACCAAGAATTTCTTATACAAACGCCTAATTTCTCTGGATGAACCCTTCTATTCCTCCAGAGTCGAGAAGTTGGCATCAAACTTATCAAAAAAATTTCCTCAAATCAATAAAGGCTAGTGATTACATGTGGCAGAAGCTTAGAGGCACCTTGCTCAGAAGTCTCAGGATTTGACGGAAACCTTTGGACTCGTGATCAACGATTTCGTTAAAAAGGGCAAATTAGCTATAGCTGTGCCCAAATGCAAGTTCAAAAAACTCCAAGGATGATTGAAGTGGGAGAGTCGATTGAATGGAAGAAATGCTGGAATCCATGCAGTGCTATTTCTGGTCATGCAAATGAACACAATTTCCAAATATACGTTTTACAATTCTAGGCAGTTCATCTTTTCTTCCGGGAGGTCGTTCGTCGTTGCTGAAGCCTAAAAATCGTCGTCGCGACGGTCTGGCACAAAAAGATAGTTTTGGTCATCTACGTGAGTGCTATGACAATGTTGTGATTGCTAGAATGACTTGGTCGAAATGGACCCCCTTGTCAATTTTGGTTTTTTTTTTCCATTCTCTCCATATGTTAAGACTTTTAGCTCACAAAAGCTCTGTATCTGGTGTTGGAACCAATGAGTCTGTGAGCAGATTTAAATTAGTCCGAGACGTTGGTGAAAATGTCAAAGAGCGAAGTCCAGTTGGCTCACTGGTTAGAGGGGCCGGTGATGAATCAGTTCATTCCTCTTCATTTTTACCAAGAAGGAGCTCCAGCAGCCTTGCTAGTGCTGCAGCAATAAAAAGAGCAACAAAACTAGTTCGGGCAAAACGTTCCAGCAGTCGTGAGGAAGGTGCTGAATTCAGCAAACATGTAAGCTTAACTCGTACTCTAATATAATTGCCTTCCAATCTTTGTCTTATCTGAATTGAAATGTACAATCAGACTACCAACTCCAACATTCACATCGGTTCTGGTATTTCGCAAGAGCTTATGGAGCCTCCTTTTATGTTTCCATCCAAATTCAGAGCCACTTCTTTCGCTGCGGAATCAAAAACAACAACCCGTGATGAGGCTGTTCTGCTAAGGTGCGCAGATTTTTAATTATAAATTGTGATTAATGCTTATCTAACGTGGATATGTCGGTTTTTTTTTTTGCAAAAGCGAACTTTTAGATCGCTCATTGCTCTTGCTGGTAGGCATTGTCCTACTGATTACGACCGATATTTAGTCCTAGAAGAGAGAGATAAGTTGTTATCTAAGCTGAGAGATGTAAGTGACACATATTTTATTATCGATTTCTATGTAGAAAGTGAACTTTCTTGTTAAGGAAGAAGACAAAAAGAATGGTGGTAGAACTCGCGTGCTCACGGAACATTGTACTGCGATGTGTCCTGAGAAGGAAAGGTTAGCAGTTACTACGCTGTCCGTGTGTTGTTTATCTGTACATGATTTTAACAATTAAGATATGTTCGAGTAGTTCAGAAAAGGATATCACAGTTTGAGTGTGGTGCTGATGGATCAATGAAACCTCACCTTATGGTAAAAGTACGTGGAAACCCATTTGGTCCACTTATATAGCAGCACAAAGATTCTAATTTTATTTATATTATGAATCTTGTAGAAGAACACTTCTTCCTCAGGAATACGCAAGAAGTGCGGCAGACCAGGACAAACCCTTACCCCACGAACTTCGTTCTAAGGCTTTGCTCGAGAACACTATGGACTATCTTTTGAAAAATGTTAGCCTTTTCATTCATTGGAAATTATTTAGAGTTAAGTATTGTACCATTATAGGTCCTCGATGCTATGCCAAAAAACGACGATGACATTTCGATGTGGTACGACTTCCTGTGGAGTCGAACTCGTGCCATTCGTAAAGAAATCACACAGCTGATGTTATCGGATAGAACTGCTGTTGCTCTTTTCGAACGGTATAATTCAATACTTCTGACTAATACATAATCAAATTCTTTATCCTTTGTGTATATCTAGTGAATATTTGGTTAGAGTTACTGGTGTACCACTCAGACGTTGGCCAGTTTCTAAGCTACACTAGACAAACTGTGCTGGTTACTACTCTCAAATAGTTCATTTCAATTCCAATGTCTAGAGAGTCAACTAATTTATTCTCCCCACGATTCGTTATAGTGCATAGTAAAGTATAACTTAATGTCATGGCCAAATGTGGGTTTGTAGACCAGTTTAGCGGCGCACCTATGTTATTGTTTCCACTAGGTTATTGCTTTATCTAACGCATGTTATCCGTAAAGTGTGCGGTTCCATACCCACTTTTGGCTTTGTAGGTGTGTTCGGCTACATATTTTATGTGCTTACAAACTTTGTCATCTTGATTTTGACAAATTCGACCAGAATATGAACACCGAGAACCTCGCTAAATGTCTGCAGTCTCTGCGTCATTTGTACGAAGATTTGAGTTGGTTTGAATTTTGTTATTCCCTAAATTCAGCTATACAAGCACCGCTAGCTGAACTTCTGACGTCGGGTTGTGGAAAAGAGCTGTTTTGAAAGTGCCTATGAATGTAATTTTTCAATTATTTCGCAAAAATACTTTTGTAGATATATTAGCTGTGAAGGTGAGAAGGTTATGGAAAGTGTACATGAAACAATTTATTGATTTTTCTGCTTTAATGTATAAAAATAAGTGTTTAAATGAATATTTAGGGGTACAAGGGATCATGTTTGATACAGAGGCAGAATTCAGAGGTTATGATGTAATGTTGCACCTCCACGATAGTAATATCCTTAGACAAGTTAGTCCAAGTGTCTTCTATGGGATGTGACTTTGTTATTCGCCATCATCTTAGCTTCTTCAATGTATATTGTAACCTTTAACGTATAACCCTAGTTTCTCGCCCACTTGTTTAGGTCCTCTCGTATCGAAAGGAAGTTCGCGAATCGAGGCCTGTACGTTTATCACTTCAACTTTCAAGTGCTTTACAAAACAAGAACTACGTAAGGTATGGTTCTAACCATATTCTCATTGTGCACATTTCTTTTTTCCCCTAACATCAGGAATCCTTTGATTCTTCTATGTCAAAATTTCTGTTGATCTTTTTTAAAAATTGTTTAGATTTTTTCGTTTACTGAGGAAAGAAGCGACCTTTTTGCAATGTTGTATATGTCATCGCTACTTTAATACGGTACGTTACCAATCAGTTGTGCCACCGTTTCTCTTCAGACCTGCTGTATAGATTTGTTAAGGTTCAATCCAAGGCGCTGCTAACGATGATGGCAGCCTACGGTCGAAATCCAGTCTTTAATCTGGATACAATTTTGCGTGTTCTTGCATGGAATGATCGAAACGATGCTTTGGTTTCTCTTGCTCAATACGGAGTACATCAAAATGACATGGACTGTGATCACGTAAGCAAGTCAATGTTGCATTTCGTGAATTCTGACAGTGATTTAGCAGTGTGACAGACGCGATTCACACCCCAATCCCTTTCCTCCCTCCCTCTCTCTACTATCCTGGCTCACCAAGCCTTCCATCTCTCCGGGGTAGGCAAATTGGTACCAGACTTGCCTGGGAGGGTAGCGGCACTGGCTCGATACGTCGGTAGGCTGCCGTGAGTCATTGTAAAGGCGAGATATACAGCCAATCACTTCCAAACGATGTTTAGTTCCCAGATCAACCCCGCTGACGGGTGATTGCTGTGGCAAAAAGATCGATAGAAATAGCTGAGAGACGTGCGAAACAAAGGACCCGCATGGTGTGGTGGTGAACGCGTTACTCCCCGGAAAGGATAATAGCGCGTTCGTTCCCCACCATAGACACCTGCGGTCCAGAGTTTTGCAAATATCTCAGCAACATTGTGGTTGTATTTCGCTTAGTAACCTGCCATGAAAATTATAGAAGGCAGAAAACAAAACGTTAAAACATGATGTTTAGTTAAGTCGAATGCATGGCGCATTCCTAAGGGATAGATCAACACCGAGAGCTTTTCCTTTTATTGTTTAGTAGCGCCATGATTACAACTGCGCTTGCCATACTAATGGAAGTATCTACGACATTTCATTTTAGGTGATTCTTAATCGGGATCTGTTTATCCAAGACGCATCGGTTCCTCTAAGACCGTATCGCTGGATTGATGAAAAAAACACTGTTTGTTTGAGCCAAGTGAGTATTGTGGGAAAGAGTGATGTCTTTGAGTCCCACGCAATCTTCATGTTGTTTTTTTTCCTTACAGGTAGCATATGGACCAATACCATTTTCATTCTCGTCGATATCTTCTGAAATTAATTCCTTTGACGATGGTTCTTATTACACCAAAGATCCTGTTCTCGCTGCTGTATTCAAAAGATACTCCTTCCAGGTTGAAACCTTTTACATCCACATTTAGAAGTGTGGTTTGTAAAATTAGGCTGATTTTGCTGACAATTTTTTCAAATTTCCTTTTTAGTCCGAAGTGCACCAACAGCACCTGACCCCAGATTATCTATCAGCAAAACAGACCTTTCCTTCATATGCAGACCATCATGAAATGCAGTCTTGGGTTCGTTAGCACGTTTGGGGATTACTTACTTATTCTTAGTTCGATTCATTTTCTATCTTGCAGATAAGTTATATTGTGCAAAACACGTTGTACAAGGTAGCAGACGAGCAATGCTTCCTCATATCTCGGGTCGTCCTGAATATGGAAGAAGTGGCGAATTCATTATCTGATCATCTTCTTGAAGATGTTATCAGGTTTTACTTTCATTTTCTCTTAAGCTGTAGTTGTATTACATTTCCATATAATCTCAGCATACCTGTGTTTTCTAACATAGAATCTCCGTAAAGATATGGCAGAATATGCATTGTAGTTGCTTTGATTCTTTCATGAATATAACGTTTTCTGGGTCATGCTATTGGATACATTATCAAATGAGCGAGACCTCAAGCGGAAGCAAGCTCTACAGAAATTTTCGCGGTTGAGAGAGGAGAAGCAGATGCTGGCTGAATTGATCGTAGAGGAAGTGATTAGTGAAGTCCTCCACAGCGACTTAAAGACAGTTGTCAAGAACGAGTTTCAGTTAGTATCTTATGTTTAGAAAGAAGTTTTTTTTATCTTTTTCTTATTTGTTTTTATGCACGGAATTTTGGTTCATATCAAGGCTATTCACACTTGACATAGCCTAGCATCATGAATTAAGTCTTAACTGAAAGTGGATTTTTAAGAATTTCAAGAGAAATTGTGCTCAATATTTTACGTTTAGGAAGGCCATACATGATTATATAGACGCTACTGCAAATTTTATCGTTGAGAACCTCTGGCGTTTAAACTTTATACATATCGTTGACAAGGAGACTAAAACTGTGCTCAAAAAAACCCTTAAGACGGATTTCAGTGAGGTTTGCGTTGTTTTAAATTGTTCTATCTCCGTGTTATTTACCATGGTGATATAGGTGGCTGTGGGTCTTCGACGTTTTCGAGAGAGAATGGAGTTATTGTGGTTACGACAATTTTGGGATGCTTGGCGTTCTAGGGTGCTAGAGACTCGACGTAAGCGCCTTGAGCGACATCGGAATTGGGAGCGATTTCAAGGCAACTGGAATTGTCAAAGTAATTTCACACTCAGCTTGTCGGCAATTTAAAGTGCTATTCGTTAAATATAAAAATTCACTGCCTATCATTGTATAGGTTTTCGGGGCTATTTCGAAGTCTAAATAGTCACATGGATATGGGACTAAAAGTACGGGTGAATTTTGTTTTATTTTGTTGATGAGAAATATTTGAAGTGAGCGTCTGGCGTTCCATTAATCATTAGCCGTTATGTTTGCTCAAATTCTTCTTTTTCATTCCATTCCATTTAGACGTTTATGTTGCCTATACCTTATTGTTTTCAGTGTTTGTACCCTCAAATTACATCATTAACACTAGAGGAGAACGAAACGGAGAAAGGAATTCCTTGTTAGTTGCGACATTGAAGTAAATTCAGGATTTTGATTTTGAAACGGTTCAGTATATTGTATCCAGTGTCTAGGATTGATGAGAGTGAAGTCCGTCGCACACTTCGATTAGCACAGTTGAAAACAAGTCGAAGAAAAATTATTATGCGACTATTTTTTGATAAATGGCGAAGCTATGCTCAACGAAGACGTCAGCTAAGAAATGTTGCAATGGTTAGCCTGTTTTAACTATTTATGTGCAATTGTCACTATATAGGTAACCCTCAGAATTTCAATCTTTACTATCTTATTTAAACAGAGAAGCTGTCGGCGTCGATCAATGCTTGAGAGATGCGCCATGCATTCGATTTAATTAATCATAGTTCATGGTGACTGGATGCATATCTGCCCTATAGAATGACTCGCGATGCCTACGTATGTGTCGAGCTGGGGCTGCTATCCTCCCAGACGAGTCTGTAACAATTTTCATTTTCCGATTACCAATACCAAATTACCGAAGTGCTAATTTTCCTGCCTCGGAGGGACAGAAGGCCTGCGGGGGGCATGAACCGATCCATATATATTGCAGGGCACCTCTAACGACTGCGCTAAACGTGCCTGATCTTGTTCAAATTTAAAAAAACCGTGAAGATCAAACATATCGCACCACATCGGAAACATTTGTTGTTTCCGTTAGCGTTGTCAAAACTGTTTGTATAGGGAGCAGCTGCGAGTAGAAAAGTCACTACCGATGAGTGTTCTCTCAGCTTCTGAACAAAATATCATTAGTATGAAGAATCACTTGTATTATTATTGTCATCTGCCTCTACGTTGACCACTGAGTGAGTCGAGTGGTTGCAAAGTTTCCGTTTGTCCATACAACGTGCAAGAATCACTTAGCAGTCGTTAACTCGAGTGACTCTGAGGGCATCATATTTTTCTTCCACAATCTTTGAAAAGAACTCTGATCACTCGTTCAGTTGTCTTTCCACTTAGCGTAGACACCACGTGGAAACCCGATGCTGTTGACTCTTATCTTCGGTTTTCACCAAGACGTACCACCTGTACGTTCCGCTTAATTCTCGAAATCTGCCCATGTGTTGCGTCTCTGATCCTTCATTTTCAAATAACGCTCTCTCTTTCGTTTTATTTGATTTCGAATTTCTTCTCCCACTTTCGTGATACAGAGTAATCCTGTAGTTATCCTCGATGCTCCGCGTGCGTAACCTTTGCTAGTCTTTCGCGCTGCTCGCGTAGTGTCCACAGTTCCGAGATGTATGTTAAAGTTGGGAGGATCGAGATTCGAAAAATCAAGAACGGAACCGGTTGTTTTTCATACGCTTCGCTACTCCTTTGACGATCTTATGAGCTCGCCATTCTACTCGTTTCCTCGTTCGGAGGTAGTCGTTCCGTTATATATGAGTGACGCTTCATAAAGGAATCTCCATTAGCATGAACATTGTTTCCTAAAGATCCGACCTAAGGGCGATTTATCCACATTTGTTGTTGATGTTTACTGGCCTCGTTCGCATTGACGAATGCTCCAACATTGGTCTGCTATATTCGTATCTTCTGAGAAACAGTTCTTCTCCTGTCGTAAGCATTGTTCAATGCATGGTGCTTCCTCGTTTCGATCGGTCGGATTACGTATTTATTTCCATTAGCTTGGATCATCAGGTCTTCATTGGAGGATTCGGATGCTACTATGGATGCATTATAAGTAAAGACCGTCATTATTAAGTAGATCCTTAGATTATCACCCTATCTATTCTCATCCATACTGCCGTTTCGGGGCCGTTTCAAAATCAGAGAGATGTGATCTTTTATTCCTATTGTTTTTGGTGAATGGAATTCGTAGTGACGGTATCGCGTTTTAGTGATTGACCCATGAGTAGCCTTTTCCGGCATTTTCAAGATAAACCTGCAGGTTATTTTTGGTCTTCTATGTACTTCCTAGCCACTTGATTGCAGGATTTGACTGAATTAACATTCAGGATACAATCCGCATACATGCATTCACACCATATGCACACGTAAATATTGTCACATACATAATTTATATGTCATTCTGGCATGACAAAAGGCAAGAAGTCGGTCACTTGAATCTTACGCATGTGTTGTGACCCGTACCAGACCGCATTTAGTTCGTGTATAGTCTGCAATCTAACAGCTTTATAATGCTTAATGCATCTTCATGACTAATTGGCTGTCTCACTGAAAGGGTCTGCGGAGTATAGAAAAACTTCAACTTTGAAAAATATCTTAAAAAACCATGTTAATGGAAATTTCATTGTTTATGCCCCTATAATTTTAGCAAGGATA